TTTCTATCGTTCGATCAAGGTGCGAGAGTCTCAACAGACAATTCAATCCTTAAAGTGCTCTACTACTGGGGATATCTTGGTGGAAGCAGCAGCTATCAACAGGGAGGCACAAGGTTTTTACCAAAGGCTATATACCCCTGATGCTGTCGATGCTGAAGCTATCGATACTCTCCTGGGGAATGTTCCAACTGATGTACGTCTATCATCCTTGGATGGTGATATGCTAATGGAACTTCCAACTCGCGATGTTTTGTTGTCTTTGCTCACTCATGCTCCCAAGTCTAAAAGTCCTGGTCTTGACGGTTTGCCTTTTGAATTGTATCAATATCTTGCTGGTGTTTCAACTGATTTTCTTGACTTGCTTGTGGATGTGTTGGGTGCAGCTTTTTCTGGTGTGTTTCCTCCTTCGTGGCAACAAACTCGTATGGTCTTATTGTTCAAGAAGGGTGACCCTCAGTTGTTGGTTAACTGGAGACCTTTGTCCTTAATTAACAGTGATGCCAAGTTATTTACAAAGCTCATTGCTAATCGTATGAACAAAGTGTTGCCAAAGTTAATCAACCCTTATCAAACTGGTTTTCTCCCTCATCGTCTGATCTCTGACAATGGCTGGTTAAATCAGTTGTTGCTGTCTCACTTGCGTGTTGTTGCTCCTGATTTACCTCAAGTGGCTGTCTTGTTGGATCAAGAGAAGGCGTATGATCGGGTTCATCCTGAATATCTTTGTCGTGTGTTGCTCCGGTTTGGTTTTCCTGGTGAGTTGGTGTCTTGTCTGTCTTCTTTGTTCTTTGGAACCAAGATTTCAATGTCTATCAATGGTTGGCTTGGTGCTCCTGTACCTCAGTTGCGAGGTCTTCGTCAAGGTGATCCTCTGTCTCCATTGCTATTCAATCTGGCATTTGAGCCTTTGCTTCGTTCTCTCCTTGCTTGTCCTGGTCTTTCTGGTGTTACTCTGTCCCCTGTTAATATCCCACGTAAATGGAAGCCTTCACCGGTTGAAGTTCGTGTGGATCATGGTACTGGTTCCCGGAATTGGACTTTGGACTTTGTCAGTGGCTCTGTTGCTCCTCCTCCTGTCAAGATTCTAAGCTATGCGGATGATCTTGAGGTGTTTTTGTCTTCGCCAGAAGAGTGGTGTGTGTTGTTGTCTGTTCTTGATCTGTATGGCCGAGCATCTAATGCGAAAGTCAATATCAGCAAGACAGTGTTGGTGTCGTTGTCTGGTGTGTCACACTCTGCTTGGGTTGCTTTGGCTGATTCTACTGGTCTCCAGTGGCATGACGCTCACTCTCGTGGTGCAGTACGTTACTTGGGTTATCCCTTGTATCATACTGAAAGTCAACTTCAAGACTATCTTGATGGTGTCTTGGTGAAGGTCCAGCGACACAGTAACTTGTTGAAACAAAGGAATCTCTCCATTAGGGGAGCAGGACTAGTGGCTAACTCGTTACTGTTGTCAAAGGTATATCATTTGTTGCGTGTTGTTCCTGGTGGTGCTACTACTGCGTCGTGGTTGAAGTCTCTCACTACGGTGGTCCGTGAGTATCTGGTGTCCTTTCGCCCTGGTGTTGCTTGGTCTACTTTGTGTCTCCCCCGCAAGTTTGGTGGTGTTGGTCTCGTGGATATAGCAGATCAAAGCTTAGCTTTGCATCTTGTCTATTTGCAACGTTTGTTGCGTCCACCCTCTCCTAATGATTTTGTCTCCTCTTGGTTGGTGTATGCCTTTCAAGTTTACACTGGTCATAAGTCCATCTTGCCGTGGTTTTGTTTTCCTGGTCTTTACCAGTCTCGTGTGTCTTCTGTGCCTGTTCTAAAACATCTCGGAAAGCTTCTGTTGAGATTGCCAAAGTTAGTTCCTTCCTCTGGTTGGTCTGCTAGCTGGTTTCTTGATCTTCCCTTGTGTTCTGTACTCAGTACTGTGCCTTCTGTTCGTCCTCCTCGTGATCCATTATCTCTTGATCCTCGTTTCTTGGTGTCGGATGTCTCTTTCTGGCAACCTGATCTAGGTATAGTTGATGGTGTCACCTCTCATCTTGCTTGGTCATCTCGTGTTTTGCGCCCTGTTTTTCTTGCCTTGAACCGTGATCGTGGTCCTGTCTCTCTGGTATTCCCGCCTGTCATGGATAGTAAGATAGTCTTGTCTCAAGCAGACTATTTTGCTATGCCCCGTTCTGATGGTGCTACCTCTTGGATGCCAGATTGTACTCATTGGACTGTCTCCAACTCGTCTCGTTCTGCTGCTCCGGTTGCTCGTCTCTCTCTTGGTGCTTTGCGAAGGTATTGGCACCCTGCAAAGGGTACCATTACCTCTCGTATGGGTCCTCCCTTGAAGTTGCCTGCCCATTTGTTGCTGTTTCCTGCTTTGTGGCGTCTTTTCTGGTCCCTGGAAATGCCTGCAAAGGCTTTCACACCTTGGTGGCGATTGCTACATGACCGTGTCCCGCACCGCTCGTGGTGTCATAAGATTATGCCTACAAAAGTTCTGTCTCCTGCTTGTGCTCTTTGTGGTTTTGCTACAGAGGACCTTTACCATTTCGTGGTGGGTTGCCATATCAAGTCATTTTTCTGGCAGGATGTAGTCTCTTTGTTGTCACTTCAAGAGCTACTCCCCTCTGCTTCTTCTATTTGGTTGGCGCTGACTACCTTTTGTAGTGGTTCAGATTTGTTGGTGATCGATGAGGATGTTCTGATTGCTCTTGGTGCTGCTTACAGTACACTTTGGAAGTATCATTGGCGATGCGTCATAGACGAGGAGCCTTGGATAGCTTCTGCTGCTATCAACATGGTCCGTCAAGACCATGGTACACTCTTTTCTTCTCTTTCTTTGGCAAGTGTTCAAGCTGGCACCTTGGCCTTGCCTATAATTACTGTATAGACTATAAATTTCAAAGCTAATAAAGATACACTTTAATACAAAAAAAAAAAGGCTCTGGTGCTGCTTTAATACAAAAAAAAAAAAGGCTCTGGTGCTGCTTTAATACAAAAAAAAAAAAGGCTCTGGTGCTGCTTACAGTACACTTTGGAAGTATCATTGGCGATGCGTCATAGACGAGGAGCCTTGGATAGCTTCTGCTGCTATCAACATGGTCCGTCAAGACCATGGTACACTCTTTTCTTCTCTTTCTTTGGCAAGTGTTCAAGCTGGCACCTTGGCCTTGCCTGTAAACTCTGTATAAATTATAAACCTTAATGCTAATAAAGATACACTTTGATACAAAAAAAAAACTGTATTTTATTTGTGTATAAAATGAACTGAAGATCCTGGAATTGAGTAAAAAAAAAGAAGAGTATTTATACATTTGCAACTAGCTTGTAGGATTAGTGATGATAGAGAGCAATAGGTTCTGCTATTGCGATATCTGGCAAATGTTGTTGATGTTTGATTTAAAGTGGTAATCAATGCAAGAGCACTGGCCATAAGGGTCGATTTGAGTAACCTTGATGGGCTTGGGTGAGCTATCGTCATAGCATGATTTAATGTAACCTTGATGGTTTAAAGTGTGATGTTTGTTATTGAAGTATGGAATCCTTTATCTGGGATATTGTGCAACTATGGCAGCAGGGCATAGTTGTCATATTTGAATATGCTTGTTATTGATTTGATTCTTTTTGGATAAAGATCCCATCACTTATTACGACCATCATGGGTGTGATTGAATACACTGTGATCAGGAGTGATTCATTCACACGATGTGCGATATAAGCGTGTATCTTTACTTTAGTATTTTTAAATGGGTTTTTGATGTACATTTGAGCGCTTTCATTAATAGATCCAAATAGCATGAATTTGAATGAGTGCTATTTGATGAACTTTGGTTTCCAATTAAGTTGCGTTTGGGTGGCTATTTCATTACAGCAAGGAACCGCCATACAGCGAGTTTGAGAGGACAAGTAAAGAAGAAATGTTTATTATCCTCCCGGCTCTGGGCCAAACAGAGAGGACACGAAAGTGAAGGATGAGTTGTGGGGATGAAGTGGTGGAGGATTGATTTGGAGGGAATTTTTCGATGGATAAGTCTATACCATACAGTTCGGGATTGAAGGAGAATAGGTTTCCAAAAGAGGCGCCATTGGGATGGGGAAAGAGGTGAGGTGTTGACGGTGGGCATTTCAGTGGAAACCAAGTGTTTGTAGTATTGAATACTGTTGAGTGGCACTGTTGGAGGTAGTGGCGTTATAGGTTTGATAAGACGGCGAATGAGTGGGCGGATGTTGTGGGGGTTGGCACCAAAGGAGGCACTGGTAAATGAACGGCGAGGGGCCTGACGGCAGAGAGCGAGAAACAATGGTTGGAGGTAGATTTAGCCTTCCTCAATCCAACGGGCAACTCGATGAGATATTCTTGGATAATGGTAAAACTCAGGGAAGGTCCAGTTTTTAAGACGGAACACTTGTAAGTCGAAGTCAAAGGTAAACACATCTATTGCGAGCAGTTTCTGGACGGCGTGAGGTCGGTCAAACAGTTGATTTGGAGCTATGAAAGAAGAGAAATGGGGATGAGTAGAAGGGAGGGTATGTAAGATAATTTCAAGGAAACACTACGGCCCAACTGATGTTCTCAAATGAGCACATCGATGTTCCCGAAAGGCGAAAAATGCTCTCATATGGGAACATCGGCGTTTTTAAAGATTTATTATAAGTCGGCCGATGTTCTTATGAGAACATCCGAAATGTTCCCATGTGAGCACATCCATATTCTTATATGAGCACATCGATTTTCAGAAATTTGAAAAAAAGAATGCTCATATCGGGGTCGAACCCACAACCTATCGGTTGTGGATCTGACGTTCTTCCCACTAAACTACTCGAATATCTTATTGAAATATATTCTTAACTCTAATAAGTAGTTAATAGATAATTTTAAATTGCCATTTTCTCGTGCAATTTATAATACGTTTAGTAATTTATGAATCTTACAGATAATAAAAGTCTCTCTGTTGCCTACAATATTATAGTTTAGCTATTAAAACCATTTTATTCATGTGAAAAACTACACCTTCTCAAATGAGAACATCAATGTGCTCATGAGAACATCGATGTTCCCAAAAGAGCACATCCATGTTCTGTGAGAACATCAGTTGGGCCGTAGTGAAAAGTAATGATAAACCTGCATGAAAATCTAAGTGACAGGTTGTGAAGGAACGTGGTATTCGATCCATGGTGGTAATGACATTGGTGAGTATGTTAAGGAAAGCTTGGTGTGGACTGGGTCGATGTTGGAACCAGATGGTTTGTCGAGCAGCAGGAAAGAGTAAGTAGTAAAAGTAATCAGAGAAAGCGGTAGAGTGGAAATACCATTGCAGGGAGTACTGGAGGAGTGGAATGCTTGGGGTGGTGTATGTCGGTAATAGTGGTGAATGACAGGCGGCTAAAATGAGGGGGCAAATCCAGCGCCATTGGAGAGCTTGTTGTTGGACAATGGGATCTAAAACTTGGAGGACGCCATGATGGCGAGGCTGTTGAAGGGTCCTAAAGGATAGTTTGGGGAAGATGCGAAAGTTAATGAAGAAGGACCCAAGTCTGCGTAAGGAGAGTAATTGAGCTCTGGTGAAAATAAAGTTGCGCATGACATGCCAGAGTTTCGAGAAAATAAGTGTGTTGAGAACGGTAGCTCTTCCACGAATGGAGAGGTTCCGTTGGGAGTGAATATGGATGCATTGTTGGATATTGTTGTAGAGTTGCTGGAAAGCAAGGTTGCGTTGGGATAAACTGGAGCATATGGGATAGCCAAGATATGTTACTGGATCAGGAGAGGTGCGGTCATGCATTTGGTGGATTTGGTGTGTAGCAAGAAACTCGCGCCAATCTGGTTGTGGGTGTCCAGAGAGCGAAATGGCTATAGTTTTCCTGTAATCTCACTACCGCGAAAAACTTAGCGGAAATGCTCTAAAATAGGTGTTTTTGTTGGTGCTTTTTTACAGCCAAAGTATTTGGAAAAGTTGGTGCTTTCGGTACAGGCTTCAAAATTAAAACACTCTAAATTTGGCGTCAATGCGCTAAGTGGTACAAATTGAAAATATTCCATCAACATTGCAGCACAAAAGTAAACCTTATTGAAAATAGAAACTGTTGTATAGCCGATGATATTTACTGCATTACACAACAGTTGAATCCTATACCGTGCAACGTTGTTCAGTTAAAAGACCAATAGTTGCTCATGGGGATTATGACATTGGAATGATATGGTTGGTGGATCTTCATTAATAGAATGCGCTATATATTACTCTTGGGGCAATTGTTGGGGCAGCAATCGTGCGATTATTGGATAGAATGATATGGAAAGCAGGATTATTGATGGATAAAATTTTCTTTTATTGATGGAAATACAGCAGAATATAGAATCATTGCTTTCAAATACATGCAGCGTGCTATACACATGGTAATGGGACGTTGCTCCTTTGGGTAGGCAATTCTTTTGACTCGTTATACAGCAGTTAGCTAGCTACCCTGTCATTCAAGAGCCTCCTGATTGTATTAAAGATAAAGCGGCAGTAGCTATACATGTTTACCCATTACGAAGAGTTCCATACAAGAGTAACAGAGATGAGGATCGACATGGAGATAAGCAGCCAGATTAGAGTTGATTGGCACCCACCACACGAGTATCTAAATGCAAAACTAATGTTAGTCATAGAGTTCAATCCTGAAAAATATTTAACAGCATACCACATTTGCCACGTACCATCATCGTAAACTTGACACACAAGCAGAACAACAACAACAGGATAGGAGGCGGTCATGAGAAACTATAAGAGATGATAGGAAATGTGAGCAACGATGGTACGGCACGATGTAAGATGCACAGAGTGATTGACAACTTACAAATATACTTTAGTATATGCTGATTAGCGAAGATCTTCCAGCAGCAGCACCAGGGGAGGATGTTCTATTCTATATTCAATGTTTAGTCACTGCCATACTTCTCAGATGATGTTCCTTACCTACCGTTATTCCCACAGAGATGATTAAAACGGTGTGATACTAATAGGCAACAGCCACATTCGAGGAGAACCTACTGCGTTATCATCTGGCGTATGCTGCCGATAATATGTTTTTAATAAGAAAGCCACCAACAGAAACATTTGGTCAGATAAATTACTTACTTTGTACCAGAAAATGAATTGAAATTACGGAAAGAAAAGAAAAGAAAAAGGATTTAAAATAATTCACGAAAAAATACTCTTTTTATAGACAAAATTTAAAGTTTTATTACAGCATGTCATAACCATCAGAGTAGTAATAGTCATCAGCATCATCATTCAAAGCCCACTCCCCCCAAACATACGTTATCCAACGATCCGAAAGCTTTTGAAAGTCATCAACGTGTTCCCCCTCCATTGTAAAGCACATTGCTACTATAAGAGAAGAATAGACACACTGCATCATTGTATAACTGACTTTGCTTTTTCCTTCCAGACTGGCATCATTCAAACGCTTCGTTAGCACTCTTTCATAATCACAAGCTCGTGCGTAGTACATGAAATGATAGCTTGGATTATTTTCAATATCAAGCGCAGGTCCAAAGCGATACTTGTAATATTCAACGAAGCGCTTTACAGTGCTACAGACAGATGTGCAATGATAATTAATACTTTATTCAAAGAACTCGCATGACGTATTATTTCTATTCTAACCTCATCAAATCTGCAGAGGAACAGGAACTCCAGCTATAGTCTAGGTAAGATTCACTAGGGTCTCTTGGAACCATTGGGGTTGCGTTTACGCTTCTTGATGCAGCTAAGCGACCAGCAGTAGAGTTGCGGAAATCTTCATTATCATCGTCATCTTCACCCTCATCTGGGCCATCATCACCACCAGGACAATTGCCAGTAGCTCCATTACCAGAAAGAGAAAAAGAAGACGAGAAACCATCAAAAGAGCTACTGTCAGAAGTACTACCAATAGCTCTTGTTGCAGAACGGCGGCGAGTCTTGTGGACAGAAGCCAACAGAGCAGTGGCACCCCAGCTGTTGGTACAACGATGCAAGATGAACCCATACTTCTGCGCATGTGCTTCAAAATACAGAGCATGCTTCAGGATTAATGCCTCATCCACACGACTCCAAGCTGGAACGACCTTGTCATCTACGGCCAAATCGTTGACATAATAGTATTCATCAAGAAGACGTTGGTGATAAACTAGACACATCTTGCGAAGGGCTTTGTATTGAGCAACGACAATCGGATGATTGAAAGCGTAACCCCTTTCATTGACGTCCCCACTTGACTTCATACTAAAGTTAATGAGGCCAAGCAAACGAGTTCTGGCATCAGGGTAAATGGCATTTCCTTGGGAGTTAACCTTGCCAGAGTTGATCCAGTACTCCAAAATCTCAGGGACAACTGGATTTATATCACGAGGGCCACGCAAATTAGGGTTTCCTACAGGAGCAGGAGCCAAGTTACGCGCTAAAATAAGAAATAACAATGTCAATGTCTATTTCAATTCAATGCACATCAGTGTTTACCTGTAGCAATCACTCTTCCGACATCAGTTTTATTGCCAAAAACACCATCATTCATGGGCTGAACGGGAGGAAAGGTAGGAGACAACTGCTTGATGAGTTCCAATAAAAGATCACGATTAAGCTTAGACTCTTCCTTGAGTTCACCAACAAAAGCCTTGAGCTCCAGCATCTCTGTCTTGATAGCATCGAGGGGAGAAACTTGGGTGCGAATGGTTCTGTAGTTATTGTCCATTTTAGTGCAAAAATAATAAATTTAACTTATAAATAATAGTTGATACTTTCCTGAAAACCAAGACACATGTTGCCCTTTTATACGTTCCATCCTGCTCTTGAATTCTATCTTTGCCATTCCAAGTTTCTTAATGACTCACTACTTGTCTTTATTACTTGGACTTGATAGAGTCTTCATGAGTCATTAAGTCAGTTCAAAGTGAGCACCCTCTGTAATAACGCGACTGTAAGTTCGTGTAATGTCAACTGTCAATCATCTTTAAACTCACAGTAGCAAAACATCCAAACATTGAGACACAACCGACACCTTTGTGCAACTTGAAGAGTCAAAAATCACTATTAGTCATAGGTGCTACTATGTACCACAGAGACGATCAAACTACTATTTAAGCTTCACTACACATCACTTTGGTCTTGTTGTCATTCATTTGTACATCACCTTATCCTCTCAAAATGCCTGCACGACGAGTTTCAGGAAACTGCGAAAAGTGCCACATGCCTTACAATTCTGCTAGAGCGTTGAGGACCCACTATGCAAACTCGACTTTTTGCGAGCCCAAGAAAGCAAGAACAGAAGACACTCCCTTATCGAATAGTCAAGAACAATCCCAGGCAAGCATGCATTCACAAGACGATACTCCAACGGCTACCACAAGTAATCAAGGAAATCAGTCATTACAGCAGCATGCTGCAGAGCAAAGAATAGAACGTGAGTTGTGTGAACTATAAGCAATGCATGACGTACCGTTCTAACTCCTATCTAAGTGCCATCAATTGAGTCCTTTTCATACTACAGTAGCTTCACTCTTGAACAAAAGGAAGGCCTTCGACATGTATATGATCTTGACACCCTCTCTTACGCCACTGATTTTAATGAAAGTGAATTGCTTTCATTGAAGCTCCGTGACATATTCGACAAGTATCCAGCATCGAGAGAAATGAGTCGTGAAAGTATATACTTTACCAATACAATCATTAAGAATATAGCAGAGGCAGGAGGTGGCATTGAAAGAGGTAAGCATATGAATACCACTATGTATTGTATCTTCAAACGCACTCACCATATTGACATCTCCCTTTAATGCACAAAGGCATTGTGTTTCCAAAGCTGATTCAGTTCGATACTCTAGAGGCGCGCATGAGAAAGAAGACTGGCGTACAAGCATTCATCTACAAGGTCTGTCCTCAAGGCTGCAAAGTTTATCCCAAGAACGATACATCAGTCCAAGGAGTGTGCAATCACTGTGGAACTCCCAAAAGCGAAGCACAAAATATGAAGGTCTTGAGCATCGGTGATCAGCTAGCAAGAGTCTTGAGTGACAAGTCCAAACGAGATGAGCTCATGTCGTATCGACGTAACTACCAACATGATCCACATTTTTACCGAGACTACTTTGACGGTCAAGAGTACATTAACTTTCAACAAAGACGGAAAAGACATGGCACCAACGTAGATGAGGAACCTATTCTGCTTGCCTTGTATGTCGACGGCTTCAAACCCCAAAGCAACTCTTTTGCTGGCGATACCTTAACGCTATTCCACGTTGTAATTTTGTCAGCCCCTCCACACCTCAGGTGAGTTATCTCTATTTGTATGGGTATAATATCCAATTAGTACCGGATTCTAACCACCAACGATATTGCATTTATGTCTACCAACCCACAGATACTTGGATGACTGGACCGTTCAGACAATGATTGCACCCGGCAAGAAGGCGCCAGTGGATCTTGAAAGCTACTTGGCTATTTTTGTGGACGAAATTCGTGATCTTAGTGAACATGGCATGCTGGTTCGAGTGAATGGTGGTGAAGTTGCCCGAGTAAGCGTTCATTTGGCAATGGCGACAGGCGATCTTGTAGAAGTATCACATTTGATGTTGCATGGAGGAGTCTCCAGTCAGTTTGGCTGTATGAAGTGCCTCATAGACACACAAGGAGGCCAATGCTTTACTCGCACAATCAGAAATTTCCAATACAGAACTCTCGAACAACTGAAAGCACCACTGCCTGTTGGCGTAAAACATGTGTTTGTAAGTGAAGCGATTTCATTAAACAATCATGTATAGTTCTTGTACCAACCATCATCTCTTCTATAGAACATCAAAGGACCATCCATATTTACCACTCTCAAGTCTTTTCCTGCCAACCCATCGTTCTACGGTCTCGACACACTTCACCTACTGAGCATTGGATTAGCTAAGCATTTGTACGAGCTCTTGTCTTCTCCATTGCATCCATCCAAGTTTGATAACCGATACAAGCCCTCTATCGAAGAACTGAAAGAAGCAAAGCTTGATAAAGCAAGTGCCTGGCCTTACACCTTTGATTTAGATCCCAAAGTTCTGGCAAAGATCGGTCAGTATGTGGCTCAGTCAAAGAAGACCATTCCAACTACCTTCAATGCACCATTCAACGACATTTTTGCACCAGGAGGAGTTACCAACTACCGAGCAGTTGACTATGAAGAGTTCATGATTTTCATTGTTCCAGCCCTGATAGCACCACACTATCCTGACTCAATCAGAAAACCTCTTCTGGGTATCGTTAAAGTGGCAGCTTTGGTATTGCAGAAGAATGAATTGCATGCTTCAGACTTACAATTCATAGAAGCGTAAGTATTGGCATCTTGAATAACAAAACCCGTTTTATCCACAGACTAAAAACTTACTTCTTTCTATCTCTGCACAGTAAGGTTAACGATTGGCACAAACTGCTGATCACTGAAATCAAAACCAAACGCCTTCCTATCAAGACCTTTCGACCAAACGCCCATTATTTAGGACACTTGACTTACATGATCAAAGCGCAAGGTTTACCGGCTTCGACTTCCAGTCGATCTATCGAAAGATCCATCGGCAGGTACAAACGCTTGATAAGTGCTCGCACAAATGTTGGTATAAATGCCGGAAACATCATTGATCGTTTGGCAATTATGCGAGCCATCAAGGCATCTACAACTGGTGATGGTACAGGCGATGGTGAAGACAAACTGAATGATCTGGATGCTCGAATCAATCTCTTAGTGCCTCGACGATACGATCCAACTACCTTCGTAAATCTAAAGAATGACAATGGCAACGGAAGTCAGCTCTGGTATCCAGTCATCCACACAACGGTTTCAAGTATCCCAACCTCCATCAACGTCAACACACCTCTTTTTGTCAAGGCTATACAGTCCTACTACGACCGGCAATACTCAACTAATGCTCTGCAGAATGTCCATATCAATGATCAACTGGATATTGTCGTCTCTGGAAGTGCCTGGGCTTACAACTGCACTTATCGTTCAGAATACTATCGCGATCTCACCGGTGCTAATTCTAGAGGAAGCCACTACATCATGGTATGGGCAGAACACTTGAGGTATGCCAATTCACAGGTTCATTATTGCCTTTATCGTTACTCATCAAAACCCACATTGACGTCTGAATTTCCTACAGTAACTCTCGTCGCAAGGTCAAAGCTTTCTATGTAGGGGCTGTTATTTTCATGTTCAAGCTCGAAATTGAGGGGATTGGCGATGAGTTGTTCTTGCTTATTCGATTAGGAAAGACTCATGCTGTTGACGACAAAGACAAGACGATGCCCATAGTGGAGCTGGATGATGACCAGGATTCATCCGCATATCTGGTGTGCACATTTGAGCAGGTCATTTGCCAAGTTGGTCTGATGCGTTTTAGCGAGAATGACAAGAGATATAAAGTGATAACGAAGGAAAAGGTTTTCCGGGCCTCGATAGAGACTTATAAACCTGGAAAAAACTCATTTGTGCTACCTCAATAATAAAGATAAATATAGATTTTATCATCGTATTATTACCCCCAACAAGTTAACAGACATTCAGCTTCATGATGTCGTTCTCCTCTTCTTCGCTTCTTCCCTTTTAGCTTCTGACATCAAAGACATCCCATTCATCTCACTACACAACGCTCAGTTCCTTTAGTATGTGCCGAAAAGCACCATTAATTGCGGAGTAGGTGCCCCAACCTTAACTTGAGTAAAACACTAGTGCGAATAGCACTGTTACCAGACAATGGCATCTTAAAATTGTATGAAATTCCTATTTTTCCTTCATTCAATTGCCAATGCTTTTATGTCTCACCCTTGCTATTAAAACCTAAGCGTGTATACAAAACAGATTCCGACAAATGTCTTCTTTTTTGCCGTCTCCCTCACCTTCCATTCTTTATTGAATTCTTCCTTCTGTTTTCCCCTCGTCCTACTATTACTTAAGGCTTTGAACACTGATTTTTTGCAAATATCAACGAAACACAAGGGCCACGATGGTTAAAATTCCGCCCACAACAATCTTTTTGCTCTTGTAAACCGGAAAGGTTCTATTGAACTGTTTCTCCCGTATCTCTAAGATGATTTTTACCACTTTTAGCATCAAATAGGTGTTTCCTACTGCTTTTAGCGCTGAATACGCTGCTAGCTCCTACTTTGAAGCGGTATTTTAAATACAAAAGACTTTCAAGATCCAACGCAAATATGATTCTGATAAATTTCAGTTTTCCCCTTTCCTTCATGGTTTATACGGTATTCTTCAATGAATGTTTACTTGATCTCTCTTAGTTTTGATAGAATAGTGATAGATCTGCCGTTCAATTGTACACATAGGAAGGTATTACGAAAAAACCGAGAAAAACTTTAGATATTGATATTGTGCTTAATTTCCTGCCTAAACATGCAGAACAAAAAAGCTATATAAGAACTAGACACCTTGATAAACACAAAAAAAACTATCCTGAACACCGCATGTGCAACAATCAATTTTCAACTGCGAGATAAAGTGTTTAGAGGCCATTCTCTTTAGATTTGTTCCGGAAACGTATATAACAAACTAGATGTATAAGAAGAGGAAACATTGGGCAATCGTATTATTATTCTTGAGCACCCGATGACCCTTTGGGAATTCATAAATTGACATTTACTCGAAAAATATGCCTAATTTGCTTCTTTTTACATATGTTTATAGATAGATTTTGAAACCTTCGTTAGGCTATAACAAACTATACGTGCTGCAATCTTTATTTCAAAGTTTTATATACTCAAAAAAATGTGTTTTTGTGTAATATATTTTGTCCTTACTTCCTCAAATGGTTAAGCATTTGATGTACCTCCATTTTTTGTGATACCACTGATAATTCTTTATTGAAAAAAAATCCAATGCACCTTCAAAACCCCAATTTTGGTGCAAATGATCTAAGTCTTGGTGCTTTTGCTCTAAACTTGATGTATTTGCACCAAGGTTTTCGCCGTAGTGTCTAGTAGTGCATTCGATGCTTTCATGTATGTATTGATAGAGTCCTGCAGAAGAAGAAAATCCGAAAAGTTCTTCAAATAGACTAATGTGTCATCTGCATAGGCTAGAATTTTGTACTTAATTGGATTGCAACGGGTGGGAGAGACTGGCGGAGTGTTGCGAGGGGAGGCTGGCGGAGGGGATGAGTTGGCAAGGCTTTCGGTTAGATCGTCCACGCCGGCAGTAGGTGATGGATGTGGTGGGGCTTCTTGTTGTACATGGAAACCCTCAAAAGTAGGGTTCTGTTGAATGGAGCGGAGGAAAGGGTCAAAAGCAATGTTGAAAAGGAGGGGACTGAGTGGATCACCTTGGCGAAGGCCTCTTTCTTGAGAAAGAGGTACCTTGGTGATGTGGCCATTAATGTTGATCTGAATGTTAGTGGAGAAGAAAAGTGAGATGATACAGTGTGTTAAAGATTGTGGAATACCAAATTGGAGCATAATGTGTTGAAGATATTCGGGATGAATACGATCATATGCTTTTTCTTGATCCAAAAGAAGAGCAATGGTGGATGAATGGTTGGTAGTAGCTAGAAGTTTGGTGGTCTGTAATTCGAAGCCGTGCTCGCCAATGAAGCGGTTCGGCATGAATCCAAGTTGTTGGGGGCTGATTAATTGTTGCATATGTGGCATCAGATGCTGGTGGAGCAGGCGTGTGAAGATTTTGGCATCGCAGTTGATTAACGAGATGGGACGAAAATTCCTCAGGTCTGTGAGATCGCCCTTTTTAGGGAGCAGGCACATGCAAGTAGTGAGCCAGCTGTTGGGAAAGATACCGAGGGTAAGAGCCTCCTTGAAGACGGCATGGGCAAGTTGGGCTGTTTGTTGGTGGGATAATAGCACCGCTAGGATTTCATAGGGTAGGCCATCTGTACCTGGGCTGCTATGGTTGGGCGACCGCTGTACACCAGTCATAATCTCGTCGATGGTAAATGGCGTCTCCAAGGTGGGTTGGCTGTTTACTGGGATCTGTGCTGAGGCAGGGATGGTGTTGCAGAATTCAGAGATGCTGGTATAATCTATGGGGTCAGTAGTATATAGCTTACGATAAAAACATACTGCAGCATCCTGCATAGTCTCTGCCTTATCGCAGATGGAGTGGGTGTCTGGATGTTGGAGAGCTAACATGGTGCGTTGAATTTGTCTAGTGGCGATTGTGCGTTTGAGGTATCCGGCAGACGTTTCACCCTGTTCACGCCACATTTTACCCGCACGAATGCTTTGTTGGATGGAGATCTCCTGTTGCAGATCGCTGATCGTTCTCGGAGAATGGTTGGTTGATTCTGATATCGTTTGAACAACTGGTTGCGTTTCCTTTGAAACCGTTTGAGCTGTCGGTTGCGCCAAGAGCTGTGGCGGCGACCAATGCGACGGGCAATGGTTTTCACTACGGCCTTGAGTGCATCCCATTGTGCTTGAGGGGAAGTGCCTAGTTCCTGGAAGAACTGATCTAACGCCTGGCGGATTTCGGTGACGAAGTGCTCGTTCTTTGCTAGCTGGGGATTAGCTCGCCAAAGTCCAGTACCCTGTTGAGAGGAGGAGAATTGAAAGGTGGTATTGAGGATGGCATGATCAGTCCATTGGGAGCACATAAAATCAATGGAGGACGAGTGTAGTTGTTGAAATAGCGTTGGTGAGCAGTAGACATAATCGATGGTCGACCGTGAGGTCCCGCGACGGAATGTTGGTAAAAGTGGCCCATCATGTTTTGAGTGGGTAATTCGATGAGGTGATTGCTGAGTAAGTCATGCCAGCGATGTTGAGCCAGCATGGCAGAGTGGTGGTGGGGTTGATCTGACTGTATAGGGGGAGAGAAAGAATCAGTAGTATAGTTGGTATTGTCAATGGCATAAGAGGTAGCATGATAATTAAAGTCCCCTAGTATAATCAGAGATTCACGATCCACTGCAATTGTGGATGGTTCCTCGGTAGATATTGGAGGTGGTTGGATGTCAATGGTGATGGGAAAGGTGTCCAGAGCCCAGGTATCGGGGTGAAAGAGTGGAATGGTAAGCAGTTGTGAATAAAAGTGGGCTCTGGACGACGCCGTGGCAGGAGCATAAATATTAACGAGTGTGATGGGTGAAAAGAGTGCATTACAGTGTGTTACCTGACACACTATAATCCGGTCATCAAGGGTAACGTTGAGCGGTTGGATGACGATTTTTGGGTTGAGGGAGACAATACCACAGTGGGATGTCCAGATGCTGGTGTTGGTTTGAAATTGCATATTCAGTCGTTCACAGACTGATTCGGTAGCATGGGTTTCTTGAAAGCATAGAATGTCATATTTCACTTCAGGATTGCGAAGGAATCGTACAAATTCGGAACTGGTGGTTGGGTTGAAGAGCTTACTAACACTTCGACAATTGAGTGAGCCTATCTTAATAGTTGATCTATAATCTGTCATAGGTGGGTTAGTAGCATAGTGTGTCATAGAGAAGGCATAAGGGTGGGGATTCATATAGTTACTAATTAGGTCACGGGGGCTGAAGTCTCGTCAGCTCGGATAGTGGTGTTTGCCTCGCTCATGGTGAGGTCTTGTTCAGCGGCGGTGGGTGTAGTATTGGTTTGTTGACGCTTGTAGGCTGGAACATAAGCTGGTTTGATGGACTTAGCTAGTTGATCATACTCGTCTTCAGGAATGAAGTGTTGCTTGAAGCAGAAGAAGCGGGCCACTGCCAGCTGGTGGTGCGGATCCTTCAAACGCCCGATGATGACCTTCAATCGAGCAAGAAAAAGGCGGCGACATTCGGCAGCCAGGAAAGCAGGGTCAGAGTCAGTATACTTGGGGTCACGCAACGTGATAGTATCCATGGGGTCGAATTGGATAGGTGCCAACTCGTACTTGGTCAATTGGGCTTCCAAGGATGGGATGTAGTCTATGTGGACGAGAAAGCCACAAACATGACGGTCGGGGAAATGGATATCCAAGATCCGCTTGTTGTGGATGCCCATAGCATGGAAGTTATCCCTCATTTGGCTAATGGGCGAAGAGCTACGGTTGGGAATGTAGACAAATCGGTAACCATGGTTGAGTGAAACGACCGAAAATTGACGAGCAGCAGCAAGATCGGCATCGTTAACATTAAGGTTGAGAGGTTGAAGCCTCTTTCGAGGTATGGTTTTAGCTTTGGGACATTTGACGGCAGAAGGGTCCGCTTGTTTCTTGGCGACGTCGGCAAAAGAAGGTTGGGCCACAGTAGTTGAAGGAGGTGAGGCAGCAGTCGATTCAGGGGCAGGGAAGGTCTGCGGAGCTTGCTGTGAATCAAGTTGACGGATCCGTTGCTGAGCATCCTCTAATTGTTTTTTTGGTGTGATCCAAGGAGGAACGAAGGGCCATGTTCTCCTGGATGAGAGCTTGCATCTCAAAGATTTGGGATGCTTGACTATTGAGGCGGGCGTAAATGTCCTTGAGATAGTCAGGAAGATTGGGCACGGAGTGAATGTTGAGGTCACTTAGTGAAAGAGGGGAAGGTTGAGTAGGGATCGTCGTGGTTGAAGCTATGTTGGGCACGGCTACTGGAGGAATAGCGTTAGCAGCAGGAGGTAGGGTATTCTCGGCCATGGCTTTGGTGATGGAACGGGTGAGTCGGGCTGTAGCTGTAAACTTGGAACGAAGACTAACAGATGAGGGAAGAGGGGTAAGTGTTTTTCTAGCTAACGTGGAGAGTCGACGTTTAGTGGAGGCAGACGGGATGGTGGGTGTTGTAAGGCAACTCTTAGCGGTTGTAGAGACTGGCTTGGGTGGAGGAGTGGGTGTTTTACTGCTTGAATTTGTTGGGGTTTTCACTTTATTTACTTCTGTTGTTATTATTTGTTTTATCGCGTTAATATTGCTGTTCTCGGGTTTTGAAAGGCCCTAAAAACAATTTAGACGAAAGGAAGGTGTAGTTTTTTTTATTGCAGATTGGAACGTTTTTGAAAAAAATTTAAATTCAGCAAGACTCTTTCCCCCGTTCTCGCGTATTCATCACTTTTTATAAGTTTTTGATCACGCCATCTTCCACTTTAATACAAAAAAAAAGATCACGCCATCTTCAGGACTAGTGAGGGGCTCTTTCGCTTATACATCACTTTTCAAAGGTGTAGGATAAAAAGGGTGTATAAAAGTCAGGGTGTAATCCGGATAATAGATAGGCCGTTGGGGTATAGGGCGCAGGTAGGGATAGGGTGTATAGGTGATGGTAGATACAGGATGCATAGGGTGTAGGTAGACCTAGGGAGTATAGAGAGTAGGGTGGTATATACTGTAGGGGGAAAAACTGTCCCGTTCTTTTAAAATTTTGTCTTTTTGCACAAGTTTTTGGTCATTTCTTTGTATACAAAGTCGAAATATATATCGTTTGAATGAGAGAAAGTAGTGCTATCTATACATAATTATAACTTTTTCAAAAACTAAAATCCAATGATTTTATTGGTTAAAAAATAAATATAGAAAAATGTACATTTTATTATAAAATCATTAACAGTGAGTTGAACCACCTTCGCTCTTGATGACAGCCTTGATTCGGACAGGCATACTATCAATATATTTCTGGCACTGTTTTTCTGTTATTTTGTACCACTGAATGTTAATACGCCGCTCTAATTCTTCTTTTGTAGAGGGCCTAGTGGGATATTAAGACGAAGCTTTAGGAGATGCCAGACATGTTCAATGGGATTAAGATTGGGACTTTGGGGTAGCCAATCCATAATTTCGTCTAGGTTAAACCCATTGTCGGTGAACCATTGTTTAGTAATGCCCGATGTATGCGGTGTTGCTCTGTCTTGTTGAAATCGTACATCAGATGGTGTCTTCCCAAAGTGCTCAAGAGTGTCGTTCAATGGTGTCTTCAAAATATCGACATACAAGCCCGAGTTTATTGCGTCTTCAATAATGGTAGTACCATAGCCAGGCCCCTCCGCTGTTATACAACTCCAGAACATGACCCCACCGTCATTTCCCTGCAACTGAGACTTGACTTGATACGACTGCATGATTCGGCCAACATTCGTTCAGTAAAAAGAATTACCATCTGAGCCTCAAAGGTTTATTCTTGTTTCATCCGAAAACACCCAACGACGCCAATCAGCAATAGTAAGATGCCAATGCTTTTTAGCCCACGCCAATCGAAGCCGCTTGTTTATCTTGCTAACAAAATTTATCTTTGCTTTTATTCGAGATTTAAGACCATTTCTTTTCAATGACTTGCGGATGCCACCAATTGACATATCTTGACCCATCAATCTTAAACTTTCTTGCGCTGCTCCGGGACTATCTAAAGTACCTGATCGAAGTTCTCTTGACATTAGGGACATAGTTTTAACAACAAGTTTTTTCGGTCTTCCGCCAAGAGGTCTAGCTGGGTCAGGGCAATATAGTTTTCTGAGCCTTGTAAGGGTAGAGTTACCCACTCCTGGATACAAATTCTTTATCTTTGAGAACGAAAGACCACGTTGGAGCTGTGGAATTTGAGGCTTGATAGACTAAAATTCACAGAAAAAAAAATAAAAAAAACAGTAATGTCAACTTGATAAAGGTATGTTTTATTATCAAACTGACAGATGTCAAGTAAACTGAAGTATCTCTACTGGCCAGGTAGATGATCCTTCTTATATACTACAACAATGGATAAAAGTTCTATTAATTAGATTAAAAAATAAGTCAACTCAGATCAACTAATGTCTAATCATGCTAAAAGACAACTCCAGCAAGCTAATCATGATTTAGCTCTGTCTAAATGAATAATTAGACTCTCATCCAAAGTACTCTGATTTATCCTTTCTATAAGGATAATTAATATCGATCTAGTAGCATGTATCCGATAGGTACAGTCTCCTTAGTCTATATTAATAGTACATATCAGAGTGTATATCGCTAAGCATACATCTTTAACATGTATCTGGATATATGGCATGTCTATAACATATCGTATGCATGTCTATAGCATGTCTCATATATAGTACAAGTCTGTAGTACATAAAGTATCTGTAGCTAGTATCACGGATATAAGCATGTGTCTTATAGCGTGGATCATGAAGTGCACATCTGAAGCAACAAGCTCATATTGCATTAACCTTGGTGCTTATCCAGATATGGTAAACATCCGTAGTCAATGTCGGAATACAAGTATAAGTCTATAGCGCCATCCATGTCCGTGGTGCCATCTATAGCCTATATCTTATATAGTATGAATTTTATAGTACTAGCGTATCTGAAGTCCATATCTTCTTATAGTATAAATCTGTATCGTACATCTAATCCAGTGTACATACAGCTTATATCTAAATCTGGTAACTGGATGAACTATCGGAATGCAGATCATAGTGGATGTATTTGTTGCATACAAGCATGCATCTTAGGCTACATTCACTTTCTCCTCAAGCCACCTTTTACAGTGTAGCAGCATAGATGATGTTTATCGTATCACATCACATCTATGTTTACAAGTCCAGTCAATTGTGTGTGCACAGGTGCCTCAGAAACTACAATACATTCAATCTCCCCAATATCAAGATATCGAGATACACCTACACTACATGAAACATATCGACTTAGGTGGCCTCGCAACAAGCTATACCAACAATCCATAAGGCCCCAGTGGCCTGCTATTTATATACCATCTCAACGTAGTAGTCATTGACCAGGGATCTACCATATTTAAGCAAGCTAGATGCGCTGTAATAAAGAAGCTCTTTGCTTTCGTTTTAGATACAGTTGACAACTGATTATTATCATCGACTTATTATTACGAATTCATCAGTATTCCACAATTTCGGTGAGACTAACTCATGTAAATTTTGATGCGTTATTATGTTGTCGGTAAGCCTGCTAATGGTAATGGAAATGAGAAAGCGAATATGCTATTTAAACACTAAAACTTTACATTTTGGCTTCGCTACGGTAAAACCACCTTTAAAATCGCTGTTATCAAGTATTGGGCTAGATGCTTGAATACTATTTTGGTATTGCACCTTCGCCTCCCTATGATAAAATCCTTATATAAATTAATGCTAACAAAAGTTGGATTAAATGCTTGATTGTCATGGCCATTCACCTTCGTTTGACTACGGTATAACCCCCTCAAGGCCAATGATACCAACAAGTGTTGCCTTGAAACAACATATCACGCAATCCATAGCCAAATAGCAAACAAGAAATCACTTGATCAGATACGCCATGTCCTGGGAAGAAGAGCCTTTAATCTCTGATTAACTACGATGGCGCTTTTGTGTTCATATTTTCCAGTATCCGATATATGAAACCTCCGTGGTGCTATACCATACCATGGCCTAGAGCTTACCTTGATAGTAGTTGGATGCACGTTTATACAGTACAACTCCAAAAGAATTCACTCTGAATTGGCTAGTCAGCAACTAGCAATACTTATATTACCGGAATAATCTAAAGAACCTTCTGCCATTACATTTTAACTAAATTATTTTCCGTTATTGGGAATAGTCAAGTCGATCAAATCAATTTCAAACTTTTCAATTCATTACATTCTTACCCATGAAAATGTGATATATTTAAAAAAAAACCACAATTTGACAATATTAAGATTTTCTCACCATATATAAGGGTTCAATGTTAGTTAAATGTCAGACGTGAGACCATCAGCGTCTTTATATAAAGAAGTGTGGCCCAGACGTGAGCTTTCGGCGTCAGTATAAAAGAAGAAAGCACCCCCCTTTTTTTTTCATTGTCAGGTGTCAGGTACACACAGACTTTGTGTGTGACTTTTTTTAATTTAGTGTAAATATCAACTTAGTTTGCAAAACAATAAAGATCATTTTATATCTCAATTCTATTCTTTTATATACATTTATCTAAGTCTACTCTAAAACTATACCTATACACACGACACAGGTGCACACAGACTTTGTTAGTAACTTTTATAGTTAATATGAATATCAAAAATAATAAAGGTTATTTTTTTCTCACTTATACTTGCAGTGAAATCAGGTTTAAATAGATTTCACAAAAAAAATAAAGCAAAGGTTAAATACAATAGAAATCAACTGTATTTTATTTTGTGTATAAAATGAACTGAAGATCCTGGAATTGAGTAAAAAAAAAGAAGAGTATTTATACATTTGCATCTAGCTTGTAGGATTAGTGATGATAGAGAGCAATAGGTGCTGCTATTGCGATATCTGGCAAATGTTGTTGATGTTTGATTTAAAGTGGTAATCAATGCAAGAGCACTGGCCATAAGGGTCGATTTGAGTAACCTTGATGGGCTTGGGTGTGCTATCGTCATAGCATGATTTAATGTAACCTTGATGGTTTAAAGTGTGATGTTTGTTATTGAAGTATGGAATCCTTTATCTGGGATATTGTGCAACTATGGCAGCAGGGCATAGTTGTCATATTTGAATATGCTTGTTATTGATTTGATTCTTTTTGGATAAAGATCCCATCACTTATTACGACCATCATGGGTGTGATTGAATACACTGTGATCAGGAGTGATTCATTCACACGATGTGCGATATAAGCATGTATCTTTACTTTAGTATTTTTAAATGGGTTTTTGATGTACATTTGAGCGCTTTCGTTAATAGATCCAAATAGCATGAATTTGAATGAGTGCTATTTGATGAACTTTGGTTTTCAATTAAGTTGCGTTTGGGTGGCTATTTCATTACAATTATAATAAGAAAAGACTTATTTGAATAAGATCAGACGCAAAAACTAAAGATTTATTGATGAAGACAAGAGTTATTCTACTTATACTAAGTTCTGAATGCCAAAGTAGCAATTTATCTTGTACAACGCTTATCACATTTGGTGAAACTCAGCATTTAGATAGCTGAGATGCACTTCAATTATCATAGCTTGTCCATGTTATTGCACAACACAGACATATCCACCCATCAAGAATACCTTAATCTTTATAGACAGTTGTAGCCCTTCTGACACCATATTTATATTTTAAGTGTCTTGTTATGGGCTATTTATGTTATATTCAGAATGCTTGAAAAAGTTAAATGTGTTTAGATTGGCACTGATATGTATTGTTTGCGGCTGTAAATATCATTTAGAGGGATGGAGTGTTTAAGGTGGTGAACTAAAATAAGAGGAATGTTGATTTGTGGCTAGTCTTGGATTGTGATGTACTGAAAGTGCATGCTTCTACTGTAGGGTGAGGAGGTGAATCCAAATTGCGAGCTGTCAACAAGTCTCGTCCATCAACTTGACCATGGTTACCTCTTCAAGCCTATCAATATAAACAAGACTTTCAGTAACCGACAAGACTCAAGGCTGACTTTATTTAACAGGAAATAAACTATATGTTTTTTTTATCGTATCAGCAGTCGTAGTGGTTGTTACAGTCTCTGCTTAAAAGCAAAGAATTCACCATCAAAATAATTTGTTTTAGGCAAATATAGTGAGTACAGTACTACAACACCATTGCTCACACGACTGATATATTTTTTTTTCACACACGAAGCCAATGACCCTTAAGCGGATTTGGCTGTGCTAAACGTTTAATGCCTACATCATGTATAAACGGCACAAATGGCATCAATAGCATTTGCAAAACTTTCTCTACTGCACAGCAATAACATCATGTTGCATGATGTCCATTATACAGATGACAACATATAATAATAGCAGAAATGTTTCAATGTTGCAAATTTAGCAAAGGTAAACTTTTTATTTTTATTTCAATAAAATCAACACAAGTGACAAGAAAACTATCTTTATACCAACGAGCTTGAAGCTTGATCGTAGTAAAGAGGGACAGTAGAGTTCAAGATTTGAGACAAATTCTTTGCCATTTGCATGATAGAGCGGGTATTTTCATCAGGACTTGCCAAGAAATCGCGTAAAGACCAGCTGGGAGCTTGGCCAATTTTGAGATCCAAGTTTTCAGCAAACCTGTCAACCCAAGCTTCCTTGTATAAAGAGACCTTGTACAATGCACGATGAGGATCCACCAAAGTCAAATCAACAGGCAGTTCATAATCTGTACGCTCCACGCGATTCATGTTCCATATTTCATCATGACAGATTTCAATAATGTATCCCTTGTAGCTATAGAGCCATTTTGTCTTTTGCGTCACTAATTGAGGTTTGTAATCGTTGGAGGTGATCATGACAAGACGGTTGTCGCTACTGACACGAAGGCCATGTGAGAACTTTTCATGAGGGGAATTGGCATCGTCGTTAGGCAGTCGACGGGCATACTGCAACTTGAGGTCCCAACTGTAATGACTTTCGATATCCAGAGCGCTGATATCCACCATATCCACACAATCTGTCACAGTGCTCCATAAACGTCTTTGGCCGCTATCCGTAAAGGAGATTTGCATTGTTGTATCCCACATCTCGCCTCGTGGAGGGCCCCTTATTCCAGGTATACGAGGAGGAGCTGCATTTGGATATTGCTGAGCATTGATCACAAAGGAGGTGCGAGGATTATCAGAGAATTCCACAGCATCAGGATCCGTTGTCAAGAATTCAAATAATCCACTCAAGCCTTGCAAAGACTTGCTGATACAGGGCGCCAATTCAGAACGGAATTTAGCTTTGCGAAACATTTGATCACTAACGTATTCAATGGTTAAAAATTCCTTCTTGTCTTTGTAGTTGAGAAGAGAGATCTGGCCAAATCGAATCTTCATGCGAATCACCCAGTCGTTCAAGCGAATGCTTTCCAAAGCGGCAGCCAGTTGCTCTTCAATCAGACTTTCATTTCTCGAATTCAACGTCCTTGCTCTGTCTGACAACTGTTCCGTTTGTGCGGTTTCATTGAAAGCAATGAGGTCATCTTGATCCACTCTGTTCATGACACCAGTAGCCACAGATTTCAAAAGCCTTTGCACTTGAAGTTGCTGCCTCTCCTCCTCTGGATCATGGTACTTGTACAGGAGAAATCCCTTTGGCAAAGTCTGAAATTCCAGCAGAGTTTGTGCCGAGGGTTGCTCGAACAATCGCAAGACGCCGCCCATTGGTTTACGGCAGGAACGCAGGTACCAGTTACGCACACGCACAGCAGCATCCTTGAGAGCATTTTCATTATCACTAGCAAGACGGATCAAGTTTCCTTGCTCTTCGTACCAGAGGTAGGTTTTGCAGTCGGCACGGATTTGGTTAAAGTAAGAGTTGTTTTCACCCGATAATCGCAGCATTGGGAGCGATTTATCAGGTAACGGAAATATTGCATGATAATTTTGGGCCACCACAGGTAAGCCTTGATATCTCTTTTCCTCTTCCAATTTAGCCTGTCTTCTCTCTTGACGACGTCTTTCTTTTTCTGTTAATTCACGTTCAGGCTTTCCCCATTTCTTTGATTTGCGTTGTGAGCGTGTCTCGTTTTCAAGCAGGTTTTGCACAATGCCATCCAGATAGCGCTTGGTTTTGGCAATAGCGTCAGCATCACCCCAGATATCCACTTGATTGTACTTTTCATTGTATTCGATAAATGAGCCAGTCTGTTGTTGGATGGAAGTTATACGTGCTTTACGAGTACCCAGCACATCTTTGGGATTGACATGCGTAGGTAAGACCCAATGATCATCTGCGTTGTGATGGTTGCTGCCTGCACTTACTGTCGTATCAGCATAGGATTGCGCAGGTCTTGGTGTGTTGTATTTGGAAGCGGTGTCGTAAGGAGCATCAATTTCGATGAGTGTTGAGCCTGCAGAAGCATTGTTGTTGTAGCTGGGATTACCGAGCGAGGGGTCCTTCCAGTTGTTATCGTCGTCAGAAGAGTCATCGTCTTCAAGGTTGTTGTATGGTATTTCTGGTACAATAGACATCTTTTCTGATAAAGTAAAAGAGAGAGAGAGAGAGAGCGAAGAGTAAAAAATAGGGGACCACAAAGCAGCCTATTTATATGATTTATTTCCAGACAAACATCCATGTGTGTGCACCAAGAAGCTTTATTTATCATTTTTTGACTGGTGAATATATCCAAATATCAAGTAGAGCACCTGCTGCCTGTGATAAGATGAGAGCATTGCCTCTATGGCAACAGGAAAGGAGCTGATCACGATGACATTTGACTGTATTTGATGGCATTACTGTCGACATTGCTCTTTTTTGAAATGACAGCAATGAATATCAAAGATGCTCATTGTGAGCATTCGAGTACGCTTACTCAAAATACAATATCACTCATAGTCGCTAGAAACCCTTTTTCTAAGCAACAGCTTGAGCATTTGTGTTGAACCATGTTTTGCATGTCAAAAGATCAGAGACCATACGCTTGTAGTCACAAATCCTGCGGCTTAGCGTGGTGATAGAGAAGTGGAAGAGCACTTGGTGATGCTAATTCAAATCACTTTTTCAACCAACGCGTATATATCCACATACCTTTGAGTTTTGAAAGATGAGTTTCTTATACACAACACCAGACGAGAACTTTGGTACTGTTGCCGAATGCAATGGATCTTTAGGTAAAAGCAACTCTAAAGATCAACAAAATATCAATGGCTGATACTGTATTCTGTAGTTCATGTCGACAGTGAGAATAGCCCTGCTCTGCGAGAACTGCAGACCAACAATGTATGTTTTGTTCACGTTTGGATACATGTATACAGGCATGCTCATAGTTAGGTTGCAATTAGACACCTCTATACCCTTCTATCCAGTTTGAAAATTTGACACCATCTGAAGCCGACTTTGTCAGCTCACCACCCGCGCAAGATAACCTTTATGTGTCTTGCTGCAATGATATCAAGAGCCATTTCATGAAGCAAATGGAAGAAAAGTAAAATCGAGAGCGAGAGAGATAGCACTGGATTTGACATACGAACTTTGATTCTCATCTATCAATCTGTGTAGGCTGCCACTCATAGAGTCAACACCTATTTACAAGCACGGCAAAGATATATACGAGTATGTGCACAACAGATTCCTCAAATCCCACGATACACTTCTACAGCACGATATTTTCCAAGCAAAGAAGGATGCAGGCCTCTTTAAATGCATTGCTTGGCACCCCCACCAAGAAACGTTGGCTGTTGCACACGACGACAACCAAGTCTACATTTACGAAAAGAAACAGGAGGAAGATGCATGGACTTGTCTCGTTTTATCGCACCCAAAAATGAAGCAAATTACATGTCTGGAATGGAAATCAAAGGCATCTGGTACACTGGCTATTGCCTGCAAAGATGGTGTGTGTGTTTGGACATTGGAAAAGACGACATGCGCTGAGCAACAACCTCGATATCACCCTGCTGCTACTATGCGATTCATGTCACATCCTGGAGAAGAAGACATCAGTTCATTAGCTTGGGATCCTACACCTGGAAGTCATCTTTTGGCCGTGGTTTCAGCTGTTTCCAGCACACTGGTCATTTATGACTTGATGCTGAACAGAACAACTCCCTTAAAGAGACTTGGCAGTGGCAACATCATTGTGCGCTGGAGTCCCAACGGCGAATGGTTATTCCAAGGAGGATCGTAAGCTGCCCATCCCCACACAAGCATCCACCAAGCAATGTACTGACTCTGATATAATATAGAAGCGGCTCCAATTCTCGTGTGTGGGATACCAGAACTTGGGCATTTCACAAAATCACCAACCCTGCTGGATTATGGATTCAAGCTGCATGCTGGCTACCCGATAGTCGCACATTGCTCTACTCCATGTGTGGTAAAAGCGATGTTCATGCCGTACATCTGTCTGGCGATATCGTGAAAACTGGCCTCATCAACCGACAGATATTCTCGGCAGCATCCAATACAGTAACAACAGACTCTGGCGCAACACAACAAGTGGGAGGCGTCATTCGGGACATGTCTATTGACAAGAGAAATGGCCAACGACTAGCCATTGTCTTTGAAAACACACATCTGATCGCCTTGTACTCTGTCAAGCAAGTGTCACTTCTCAGTCTACTTGAGGAGCCCATGCTGTTCCCAATGTAAGTATCTCTTTTCACGAGCCAATGTGTCATACTAAACATGGCTGTATTAGCGGTTATATTCGTGGATGCAGCGTCTCTTTGAACGGAAATACCCCATTGAGCGTATCTTGTTTGCCAGAAAATACCAAGCCCTTGAGCCTCTCATTCTCTTGTACACACAAAGATGGTGCATTGCTGGCCGTTACCTGGAACACTGGTTTAATATCATTTGTTACACACACTTTTTTGACTGATGAGGAAATTAGAAAGCGTTTTATGTGATTGTTTAAATTAGCGAATAAAGTATATAATAAACTATTTAAAATCATGAAAACAAACAAGCTGCTTTTATTTTATTTTTTTTTTTTTTTTATTTTTTTTTTTTACACGCCACACTCAATATGAGCGAAGGGTAAAAATAGCCTATATGATAATGCATAGCGTAATGGATCTAACATGATGGCATGGTAGATTAAGTCAGGATGATTTCAGAAAACTGCTAGCGACTCCACGACGACCTGATTACGATGGCAACAACTCGAGTGCACAGTTTAAAGCACCTGCTCCTAAAATACCGTAAGTTTGCTACACCAGCGACTCATGTATGAAACTAACAGCAAGCACCAGAAGAGGCACAGGCGCAATCTTTGCTCAGCCTCGTTCAATGAGGAAGAAGCCTTTCAAAAAGAACGTTAGCAAAGACGACCAAGCGGAAAAGGACGCCAACGAACAGCAAGAAAAGACAGCATATCGCGATAGAGCTGCTGAGAGACGCAAGCAAGACGAGTCTAAAACAACGTCAGAAGATCAATTGACAACTGAAGAGCTTTTGCAACGAACCCAAAGAGAGGCAGGCCAAGAGTTGGACGCAAGACAGCTGTACGAGCAGTCGAAATTCCTAGGCGGCGATGTGGATCACACGCATCTTGTCAAAGGCCTCGACTTTGCCTTGCTGAAAAAAGTGAGAACAGACCTTGGAAAGCAACCTGCCAGCAACAACCCGACGAAAGAAAAAGAAGAAGAGCATGCTGAAGCCTCGCAAGCCATGGATGTGGATAATGACCTGGATCAAGTGTTGGACAAGTTTGAACGCGGAGAAAAGATTGCAGACGACGCTGACAGTGGCGAAACAGAGATGGAGGATGTATCTATGGAGAAGCACAACAAACCCAAGTTCCACACATTGATGGCCAAAAACATCTTTGAACATATTCAGCATCAAGTCCACCCTGAAGATCAGTCTCGTGTTGAGTTGTTTGAGCCTGGAAGAATGGCATTTGTGTTTGAATTGGCCGATGAAGTGGGTCATTACTCGGACGCTTTTGCTATCCCCACTGCCATGATTCGAAGCAAAGCAGATATTGCTGCTAAACTAGCACGGATGGGCTGGTCAGAGGAATCACAGGCAGAGTCAAGCTTAGTGATTGAAAAGATCTCGCAAGTCATGAATCGCATTCGATACGGTGGTGGTGGTCCTACTGCTGGTCATGCGGAAAGTGCCAAGAGACCTGTGATATCAGCAGCAACAGCAGCGAGGATAACCAAGGAGCCAGTGGCTATGGTGGAAGATGGATTTGTGGGCGACATCTTTGCTGATGTGGGCCGTGATTATGAATTGGATGAGAGCTCACATACACAGACAAACGACGAAGCAAAGGGCGACTATTTCAAAGGACTTGTCGCGGATCAAGATGAAGAAAAAGACCAAGAAATGACAGAGGCTAGCAATGATGCTGTCAATGCATTGCTGTCACAGGCAACAGCAGGCAAACGTACACAAGATATGCCAGAAGAACAGCAGCCAAACGACGCTAAAAAAGATACAGCTACCCATAAGCGAAAATACAATCACATTGAAATGGATGCGGATGCAGCAGATATCGACATGTTTGGCTTGAGTTCATCTGCTTTACCCACCTCATTCGAAGAGCACACAACCGCATATCAATCGGATGACGACGACAAGGAGGATATAGCCACACACAAAGATAAATCATCGGCGGCGGCTGTGACGCAAATGATGGATCAAGGCACAAATAAAAACAAGAAGGCTCAATTGACAAGATGGGATTTCGATACAGAAGATGAATGGCAAAACTACAAAGACAATATCGAAATTCATCCTAAAAGTGCATTTCAATACGGCGTCAAATTGGGTGACGGCAGAAAGCGAAATAGGGAGAGAAAAGGAATGAATGATAAGCAACGGCTGGATCGAGATTACCAACAAGTGAAAAATATCATGTCAAAAAAATACGGCAAATCACTGGATTCTTAAAAGCGCGCGCATGTGTGTGTATGTTGTAATATTTACAAAGAATAAAAAAGTGAAGCTAACATGCTAGCGAGGTATACTATGTTTTTTTGTAGATTTCAGCATCCAGGGATGCTTTAATGCTTCGTCAGGCTTGAGACGTTGTTCAGGATCCCAGTGCAGGCATTTGTTGATAAAGTCCAAAAAGTTTTCATCCGTTGTCTTGAGTGCATGCTCTAATGTCTTTGTGCCTGGTCTTCTTTTTCTGCCTTTGGAATTGGGCTGTATTCGTGGGTTCCCTTGTGAATCTATAGCCAAATGCGAAAAAAAAAATAAGCACTAGTGCGTATGCCATGTTACAAGTGGCTTACCAAAAAATAGCTTCCTACGAGTACTCTTTTCTATAATGTAAGGTTCAGGCACATCTTGAATTTCCATGATACAGGCCAATTGTTCTTGCTCATTTTCACCTGGGAACAAGGGATAGCCTGTGTGTAGCTCGGCTAATATACATCCAACGCTCCACATGTCGATGGCCATGCTGTAACTCATGCCCATGATCACTTCAGGTGAGCGATAGAATCGACTTTGAATGTAAGTGTACACTTTCTCGCTCTCTAGACATGAACTGCCAAAATCAATGACTTTGATGGTGCTTTTTGTTGGATGCTTTAGCAAAATGTTCTATTGAGTGCACAAGACGTCAGTAATACAGCCCCATCATACACACGAGAATGTTACCTCTGGCTTCAAGTCACAATGAATCAGCTTGTGCTTTTGTAGCAGTGTCAATGAATTCAGCAGCTGCATAGCAAATCGTCTAATCAAACCCATACTGAATCCTTGGAACCCATTGCTCTTGATAAACTCGTACAAATTGATGGAAAGACATTCAAATGCAATGCACAGATGATTTCTAAACATGAAATGGCTCGTCATTCTCACATTGTTGTGTTTGTCCTCTGGATCCCAAGCAATCAGTTCCTCCAAAATCTTGACTTCGACAAGCGCCTGCGCATGAAATCGTTTCTTGTTACGAATAATCTTGACTGCCACAGTTTGGCCTGAACGATGGTCGAAACACTTGAGAACTTGCCCAAAGGAGCCTTTGCCCATCAACTCCAATACTTCATATCGGTAGTCCAAGTGATCTCGGATCTGAATCAAATAGTCACCGCGTTCATCGTCGTAACCATAGTTACAGAAGCTTTGGCTGGGACTGGCAGGCCGTTTCTTTGCATGGTGTCCTACAAAGTAGATGTTTTCATAGTTTTGCATCTCTTGCTTTTCGTAGGACGTCAAGTTGAATTGGTACAGTTTTTGTGCTGCTTCAGGCGACATGGCCACTCGCATCATGACTTTGGGATGTTCTCCTCCTAGCAGTTTCTTGACAACAGGGTCATCGCTGTGATTGCCTGTGGTAGAGGTGCCTCTGCCTCGCAATATGATCTCGGATGTTTGTCCTTCTATCGTCTTTGTTGTCGCCTTTTCCTTTTCCATTTGCGTTGTCCATGATTTGCTCTCATCCACGAGTCCTTGTAGCCTCTCTTGTAGTGTAGATACTTTTCTCTTTGACGCTGGTACTAATAGATCAGCATGAGTAAAAAGGAGGGGGAGGGGGGGAAATGATCAGTGTTACTGTACCTGATGTCATGGACTTGGAGGATATTGAGCTGGCTAAACCGCCCGCCTGTTTCCCATGATTCGTCGTTGTGCTGGACGAGATCGGTGTAGTCGCTGATGTGGATGTGGATGTGGACGTTGACGTGTTTTTGCGCAACGTATTGTCATCTGTGCTCTTGTTGGAGCGACTTGATTGCAGTTTTGGCGTGCTCGATACGATAGAAGTTGATTTTGGTTTTCGAAGCTGTCTGTGCTGCTGTTGTTGCTTTATTCTTGAGGTCATCGATATGTTTTTGCTCGTCTTGTGTTGATAATCATCGTCTGAATTGTCTGCTGTTTGTCTTGCAGCAACAGCAAGTCTTTGTTTTGTCGTGGATGTGGATGTTGTTGCTGATGCTGCCCCTGTGGCTGTATGGCTGCTATTTGCTGGAAGTGGAATACGAGTGGGCGTCTTTGCAACAGTGCGAGTATGCTTGTGTACAGAGGGAATGTTCAGTGGCTCAACCTTCATAGGCGGTAGTGATAATGGTGCGATGGAAGGCTGTGAAGCAAGATTTCCAGGCAGTGTCTAGTTTTAACAAGCATTGATTAAGATACTCCCTTTTTAATTACATGAATGCCTTTACCTTTCCCCTTTTTCGTCTGACGACAGTGGTGGTATGAGGCTTCGACACAGTAGACGTTTCTTTTGGTTTTCTAATGTTACTATTACTGCTGCTACTGCTGCTGCTTGATGCACTGTTAACATTGGATGATGTCGTGATGCTCAGTTTTACTTTTCTCCTGTGCGACGCTTGTTCAGAACTATTACTGCTTTCCGCTCGATGCGATCTTGCATTGAGTGTAGAGGATGTCTTTTTTATGCTGTTCATATAATCGTCCACGGACTTGATTTCATTGTCATCCTTCTTGTCAATCTGATTTTGTTGTTTCAAGGCTACATGATTTTGTCTTTGACGCTGCTGTAAGGATGCCAATGTGCTCAATTTTCTGGATCTGGTTGTTGTAGCAGTAACATCTGTGCTTTTCTTTTGCTGATCAATTAATGAGGATGATGATGAAGATGACAAGGATGGTGAGATAGACGCTGCTGCTGCTGCTGCTGCTGCTGCTGCTGCTGCTGCTTGTGATTGACTCAAATGGCTTCGAGGTGCTTTTCTTAGATGTATAGATGATGTTGAAACACGTGGTGTTGTACTCGCACTGATTCTCGGCGATTCGATTTTGGGCGCTGTTGCACTTGAGATGGAAGATCGTGTGCCAGTAATGCTAGAAAGCTCGTCCCGTTTGTTTTTCCAATCGTTTGATGTTGGTATCGTCTTTCGATGGCTGTTCAGTAACGTGGAGGAAGAAGAAGACGAACAAGGCGATGAAGGTGGGTGTGCAAGATCTGCCAATGAGAAGGATGATGTCGATTTCTTTGAAAAGGATGGCTCACTAGGCTGTGGATGTGGCGCTTTTGAAGAGAGAAGTGTGTTGGTATCTAGATTTTTGTAGTGCGCATCCTTTTCAAACATGTTGCGCAATCGAAGGTAGGAGGCTGAAGGGCTCTTTTCCCCACTTTCGATTTGGCTGGTTGATTTGGTGGGTGTAGCTACAGGAGAGGTTGAGGATGCAACTATGGCATAGTTTTGATCGAGAGCAGCATCTGAATTGTAGTAAGCTGTAGTTGGGATGCGTTGGGTGCTACTACTACTGCTATTGTTGCTGTCTAACAATTGCTTCCACTTGTCCATATCGTCGTTCTTTTTCTTGGATGGAGACGGCGAAGATAGATCTTGAGACGTTGCATCCAGTTTCTGGTTTCTTAGTCGATAGCTTGCCAATCGCTTTGCAGATGCGGCAATCAAGCCTTCCAAGTCTTCCAGTGTAGCATCGCCCAAATCAACCTTCTGAGCAGCACCGCCACTGCCATTAGAAGCTTGTCGGCTTCGAGGAGGTGTCGATGAGGATGATGATGGTGAGGATGAATTAGAGACTGGGTATACATGATTGTCTTCTGTGAGTGTAAGTCGACGAGATGAAGTTGTTACTAGATCCTTTCGACGTTGGTTCCAATTTGCCGTCTCTGTTACTTGCTCTTCTAGTTCTTTCAATTGACGCATTCGCTCTGCCTGCATCTGCTTTCTTTTGGCAGCATATGAGGATTGAACCTTGTTCCATGGTTCCTGGGACAATGATAAAGATGAAGTCAAAGTGGAGAGTGCAACCTTTGGCTGTTGTTGTGAGGATGTGGTTGTGGTTGTGGTTGTGGTTCCTGAATCAAAATCAGTCTCGACGTAAAATTTTTGTGAAGACATGATTCACGATGTGGTATATTTTGGTGTATATAAAAGATGAAGAAAAAAATGTTCAATTATAAAAGTAAGCCCTATTATTTTTTAACGAGTTTAAAGGACCAATTTAGAATATCAATTAAATACAAAACTAACTTACCTTCTTGAATTGATTTGCTACTACTTTTTGGTATATGGAATAAAAGGTATTTATGAAAGGTTCATATCTCCACAATTGAATCAAAAGTGTTTTGTTTGCAAACGGGAAACGATGAACAAAGAGGTATCAGAAAAAAGAAGAGTGAAAAAAAAAAAAAAAGCAAAAAGGAAAAAGGAGAAGATACCTTGAAAAAAAAAGGCACTACACTACTTTGGCAAGAGAATAGCCAACACGGGCTTTCAAAAGAGCACGCTTTTCAACAACAAAAAAAAAGTGCAACCAACATTTTGCCCAATCAAATGGGATTTGCAAGGAAAAAGTAAAGGAGATCATAATGCCGAACAATCAAAAATACATTCGCATGGTTGCATTGCGTGATGTAGGTTCACGTTGGCTTGTGTGTCTACTTTTCAATATCTACAGGACTTCTAAATAAAGATATTAGGATCCAAAGTGGCTGTGAATAAATATACTGCAGCTCAAGCTAGTAGGGGAAATCATTAGACTCTTGCTTTCATTCATACCACGTATTTTGCGTGTGGAACAACGTGAACATGGATCAGTTTGTCCTGTTAGCAATGTTGATAGACATTGTCGACAAGCAAGTGTTTAGTCTGTCATCTGTTGAATGCTGGTGATTGTTTTGTGTGTACAATACATTAATGTTTTGTATCAATAGACACGAACGTATGTTCCAAAGTATAGTAGATATAAGCTATATTGAGTACTGATTTCATTGCAGTAACTCTTCCCAGCTTACCTGATTTATTTCCAGTTGTCTGTATTGCTTCTATACTAGGTTATTTACGCCAACATTCTCGACAACTCCAAGCGAGTTCACAGTAAACTGATGAGATGTTTGACAATTCAACACCTCATAGGCCCCATCGTAAAGTTTACAAACAAGAATTTCTCAAAATGTGATAGTCAATGACGTGAGTTGCAACAACTTCGTCGCTTTTCCATACGAGAAATCTATCATACCACTAATCGACTTGGTTTGGAGTCAAAGTTATCCTTTCAAAGCATATCAGCCTGTTGCCGATTGGGATTTGCAAAGATTGTTTGTTGATATAGCTTTACAAGGCACTATCGCGATATGGCTTAATTTTCAAATGGACTGTCGAAACATTGAAAAAAATTTGCAGAGGAATGGAATCTCTTATTTTAGACAAGATGAAGTATGAAATACAATTCAATGCACATCATTTTCGTAAAGAAAACCTCGAAAAGCGTGCTGCTGCCATTTATGAAGCTGATGCGTTACTCCCAAATGTTTTTGGTTTTTTTCAGATAGTACGGTAAACCAAACCGCTGGTCCAGCACCTGATGAGGACAAGCAGTAATCACTGTATAATATCTAGAAGCACGTGTGTGCTATCAAGTATCTAGCTATCGTCACTCCCGGTGGCATAACGAGTAGCACGATGGATCCAGTCGTCGGTATCAGGTGTGGCAAGGTTATATCCACATAGGAGGAAACAGTGGAAAAATTACAGAGATACTTGCACATGTTGTATGATGACAGTGATAAGTATGGTATCTATGGCGGCCCTCCCTATAAACATCCGAGCTCTTGTACTGTTCATTTTCTTCAAGTCCACAGATCCGCTGGAAATCTGCTGTTATCGAAGCGTAACCAAAATACGCGCTGTAGTTGGCCGGAAGTTGGTTGAGGTAATCAGAAATTTTACCGTTTCCAAATACAAGTATGCAACAAAGACTATTAGTAATGGTCCATCAACGGTCTATATTTTGTCGGCCATTTTTAAAAACATGCTGCATTGTGCTTGTCAAGGAGGTTATCCCACATTTACAAAACTCGAAGTTTCTCCACCTACTCTTGAAGAATAAATACAAAACATGCGATCTAAGAAGATTAAAGATGAAGATATTGATATGCGAGTTTACTGTTCTGTGTTGATGTTTTTGGTCGATTGTTGTAAAGCCTGGAGAATGCCTTTTTGCAATTCAATGTATTTACGTTATAATTTGATAGTAGTGCCACAGAGTTTCTTTTGCTTGCGTATAAGCTCTTGTTAAGAAGGAGCATCAGGTATAATAACCCTAGGGTCAGGAGAAGGGTCTCTCTCATGTCGCTCGATGTCAACAGGATCTACACATGATAAATATGCAGAGATTGCTATCAAGCTTATACCTTGTCTGCTGCTGCGATAATTCAACGCTAAACTTATTCTTGGTCTGGCATAATACCTCAGAAGGCTTCTCAGGCTCAATATCCATCAATGTATGTTTCTCTTTTTGGTGTAAGGTGCTGGGAGTGCTGGACGATGCCTTCTGTCTTTGGCAATGGTGTCTTTTATTCTTTTCTGTTCTTCTTGGTATTAATGCTTTCCAGAGAAATACAGCTATTTTAACCAGCTACTTTTACCATAACCTGTGTTTTAAGGCCACACTTCATACGAAAAATCTTAATAAATGTTGTAAATGGTATAGGAAAGAAAAGTCTGATGGAAATGCGTGAGAATGAATGTAGGTGTATTTCAGTAAGAATCAGATGGGGCGAATCAATTATGGGTGAATGCCTACTGCCATTTATATGTTTCATTTACGGATTGCTTACACACACATCTAGAATAGTGTTTCATGCTAAATGATAGTTATTTCGGATAAAGATGATCAGTCTAAATATCTTGAGTTGCTCTTGGAAACACTAATTACTTATATTTCTTATTTACTATCTTTTGACATACGAAGAATAGTTAATTGGAGCTTAGCTTATGTGAATATCATGGTAATCATTTACATGCTGATAAAGTTTATCTACATATTTTTTTTTATATCGTCATCTGAATTTCATGATGAGGGAAGAAAAAGACTGAATAGATTTAAGGGGAAAAGTTATGAGGGGAGGGGGGGAGAGCAAAGATAATTGAAAAAAATACTAAGGTATATACAAATCGAACTATAATTCCAAAATTAAGTGAGCTAGAGAACGAGCAATAGATGCGTTAACATTCACTGTGGCAAAATGCACCTGGTCAAAAATGGAACGCCTGGTAGCGAAGACTTGATAAACGGTAAGTTCTGGAACGGTTGGTGTGGAATACATCCACTCTGATCTGCATTCCGACAGTTCATCTAGTTACCTGATTTAGCTATAAAGTATCCAAATATGTATCAAGTACGTTAGATGCTCCAAACTCGAACTGTATGCTACGCTATTTCTGTTGATTGGCACGGCAGTGTATTGTTTTGTCAATAATCTCTTTCAGTTATTGATTGCAAACAAAATGATGTCTCGGCGCGACCTCCAATTGATACTCTGCGGTGCTGGTTTCGCGAAATGTGTAGCGAAACGTGTGGAAGATCTTGCAATAATAGTTGGTCCCGAGACTAAACCAAGTAATTAAAGCTATTTAAGTTGCTGATGTGTTTGCAATAACTTTGATGTAGACAGTATCTCAGCGATAAGATGTATATATATAAAGTTATATACCCAAAAGATTTAATCGTAAGAAAGTTCAATTTATTTCCAATGTGCTGTATAGATCAAAATATAAGGTCAAAATAAAAAAAATGTAAGAGTAACCGGTTTCAACACCAGTTCAGGAACAGTAGTCTGATAGGCTCAGAGTTCAGATATCGTCGCTTTTTGAAATCAGCACCACCACAAAATCCTTTTACCATCGTAACACATTGTCAGGATTGAAGAAGAGTATTCTGACAGTGATTTAGATCTGCAGGATATCATTGACAGGCTAAACACAAACAAGAATAAGAAGCTCAGGTTTAAACCTAGAGCGCCAGCTACCAGGAACATCAAACAGCGATTAACCTGGATAGCACACAACATTACACAAACTATATTGGATAAAACCAATAATATCCAAATCTAATAGTAATAAAGACACCTTTTTATCCATTCAACTAAAAGGCTATAACATCTTCCTGCACACTCTTCATATCTACTTCCGTATATATCTCGATCAGATCTAAGATTGCATATACTATCTTTATATATAAGCATCTGACAACATCATGATAAATATCAAGCTCTCTATAATGATTACCTTGGTAGTTGGTAATCAAGATATAAGTATTGTTGTGTGGAAAGGAAGACTGTAAGAACTATCCCAATAATTATGAGAGATGAATTTAAGGGTTCTTTAGGTTTGTTCGTACTAGATTGGCACTAGTAACTAAACTCCAGATTAGAATAAGAAGAAAAAAATGGATAATGTTTATTAAGATGCAATTCAAAATACTATTTATATATGCCATTGTTCTACTGTTATTCTCCTGTCAGGCTCAATTCAGATCCGAATGTCAGTGCCCTGATCAAATGTAACCCCAAATTGGATTGCTTTCAATTTAATGTCAATTTCATGTACCCGCGTTCTTGAGTCGATCCCATTGTTTAAAATGGTAATACCCCAATTCCATTGTTGTAATTCCACTTGAATCTTGCATCGATTCGACATCAATTGGTTTGCATCATCTATCCTGAGTCAAAGTCCAGAGTCAAACCTACATTTCAAAATAGTAATACTTGGCTATTAGCGCGCAACCTCATTTAGATCCCTGACTAATTCATCGATTCAACAATATCGGCTCCAAATATTGATTAGGTTTTCGGCTAAACTTGACAAGAAGCACCACGATTAAACGAATATGTAACAACAACAAAATAGAAGCGACACCAATTGAGTAAGCACCAACATTGATTAGCAATACACCAAATAGAGTCCACATCGACTAGAATAACAGTATAAACGCACCATCAAGAGATAACATTAGATATAGTAGATAAGGTAGAGAATTATACCTTGAATCCACCACCTTGAGCCTTTCCCATATACGGAATATTGCTTTTTTAGGAAATCGAGATAAAGCCAAGTAATCAAAATAAAAATACACACGTATCAATCATAGAAGCGCGGATAGTTTAAAGGTAGAATCTTGCCCTTCCAAGGCAAGGGTCGGGGTTCGATTCCCCGTCCGCGCACAAAATTTCATTTTTTGTCTCTTCGATTGATTAACGTGAGACGTTATAAATTCTTTGAAGAATATCCCCTTTATTTTTCTGTCATTATAAAATACTGTGTATCACATTTTTAGGTATCGCTTACATTGCACTTTGTCCACAGCACAATTTTAACTCTGAAATGCCGCACATCAAACGAGCACAAATTAAATGCCCAGATCAGCGCTGCAACACCTTCCGTTTCTTGTATCCAAAAAGGACAACCATATATCAAACCTTGCATCTTAAATCCATGAAATACAATTACATAACCAACTCATATGAAACTATACACATTGACCCTTGTAAATTAAGTGAGCTATTCCTCGTTCATTGAAAGATATTAGTACAAAAATATTATCAAATCTCAATTCAATCCTATGTTAACCAGGACATTATTACAGACATAAAGAATAGCAAAATAGTATAAAAAGCATAAATCTCAAAATCAATTAATAAAACTATCTTATACTTTACCACTATTTTCAATACATATCTTTTATAAAGCTCATTGGCTGTTATATTTACTTCTTTTCTTATACTTAACATCTGTTACTTGTAAGATACTTTGAATTCTTTATATGTTTCCCATATTATAAGCGATTCATTGTAAACCCTTTTATATACATCTCTGTATTACTTTCTATTTTCTACTTTTTCTTCTGTTTATTTGTTTATTCTAGTTGGATAACTATAAACCTGATGCTCATTTGATAGTTAGATCTGCTTTGGCTAGTTTACCATCTCTTTTCAAACTCTTTTGTCAAAACTATACACACTACTACCGACTCGCCTGTAACAGCAGCAAATATTAGAATGGTGTGGACAACACAGAACAAAAAGCAATGAGATATATCCTTACGATGCGTAAGTTTAAAGTATTAGTATTACTAATGGTTCTCTGTCGTCGACTTGCTCGATCGACTCATGTATCGTTGTTCTCAAATCACCATCGGATCATCCAATCTTTTTTTTTTTTTTTTTTTTTTTTTTTAGTAGACAGTGAGAAAATTACATTGTCTTAGGTATATGACATACCAGTACTCTGCGGATCTGGTATGAGCGTGACCTTGTACGCCAGCAATCTTGGAACAAAGTAGCAATAGATTCCCTTTGATCAAGAAACGCATATCCACAGCAGATTCGACTGCAGTCCCAATTGTTTGCACACAAAGTTTGACGTTAAATATGCCATGCAATGTTGTCTTGAAATAACATTTGAAGAGTAGTGAAACGCATGCTGCTTTTTCTTATCCCATTCACAAATAAGTTGACTACCGAGTCGCTTTCATCAATCAATAATCACAAATATGTCTGTCATCTACAAACAAAAGACATCCCAAGCAGCATTTTTTTTTTTTGAAAAGAATCAAGTATCAATAAAGGTTTGTTATCATCAGCAGATCGAGACAAGGAAAATCATTTCTTTGTGAAAGAGCAAAAGGAGCTCGTTTTCAAACAATCTTGATGCAGTTTTCTAAAGGCATCCTACATAAAGTGCTTTTGTAAACATGCTGAGGGGATGTAAACACGCAAATCAAGGAGAAGATCACAAAAGAGGGGGGAAAGAAGAGAAAGGAGCATATAAATACACTGTCTGTCTTTAGCACTTACAACAACTTGCATCCTTTCTTCTTGAAACACATTGTAAAAAGAAAAAAAAGAAAATGAGTCAACAACATTACATTTCCTGGGCTGTAGTACTTTTTCTTGCCATTCAATTTGGCGCCATGTCAGTGATAGCAGTGATTGGATGTGCTGCAGAGGCAAAGTAAAGTATACTCAAAATCTAAATCCTATCGCTGTAGAGAAATGCTAATTTACCATAGTTTCCAGGCTTGTAAATCAATCGAGGAAAGTCTTTTACATGGATGTGGACCAGTTGACTATGCTTGTCAATGTAATGCTCAGGTATAGCTATATCCCAAATCATATCCTCCACCCACAGTGGCGCTGATGTATGATGTACTGTAGAAACTCATTCGCCAATGTTACGATCTCTGCCCTGAATACAGTGTAGATGCAAACGAACAAGCTCGAGTTGCAACTGGTATCTGTGCTGCTGTTCCTACACCTTCCATTGCACCATTGCCCTCTGGCCCTCTTGTTCCTAGCCAAGCATCTGCAACTTGGGCTGCACCAACCACAGCGGGATCAACAACAGCACCTTCTGCTAGCCAATCAGTCAAATCTTCATTTGGTAATCGTGTGCTTCCTGTTGGTCAGTTCGCCGTTGTGATCACCATGGTGGCCATTGCATTGACTGTCTACCTTTAAATTATCTACCATATACACTCTAATGTATATATACATATATGTATCTCCAGCATCACTGTAATAAAGATACTCCTTTTCATACATAATGTAAAGCCATGTTTCCAACGAGTGTATGCAGCAGCATATACAAGGATAAGATCGAAATATCCTTCTCTCTCCTTCTTCTCCCAGTCATCATGAATCAGATGTAAATACAAGCGATGTAGCCCCTTTTTCATTCAAACAGCACCATAGGCTGATTCAAAGCGATATCAAGTCATGGTATAGACATTTTTTTTGCATGGGACCTACGATAAAAAAAGTGTGTTGTATTCTGTATGTCATACAAAGAGCACCGGTATTGTTTCATTAATGCATTTGTTATTACATCACATGATGGGCATACCATTTTTAATGGGACCTTTTGGCCCAGAAGACACTACTACAAGTTAGAGAAGATTCCCATAAACAGATGCTAGTGATATGAGAGTTTGTGGGGGGTGAGGGGATTCCACGTATACAAAATCATGAGATAATGTTTTACTTGGTAAATTGTATAACGGAAGAGTAACAAACCTTAATTCATCATGGATACGTATAAAAGACTCAATGATGGGAAGCCCTCTATTCAGTCAACCCTTCTTCTTTTTCCTTTTTTCTTTCTTTCTTCCTGAATGGACACGGCTACTGCTGAAATTGTTATCTTTGCCCCATCTTCAATGACCAAACAAATTACACCATCTATTATTCACACCTCACATCCATTGCGCAAAGGCTCTGTTTCATTTGACTTGCCACCAGAACAGCAGCACCAGCAGCCGCAAGAAGAAGAGCTGCTATCGCCATGCATCACATCGCCCATCATTGATATCAATGCGCAACCAGTGCCAGATACCATGCTGGTTGCTCTTGTGGATCGCGGCTCAGAAATGAGAGACCTTGTGCGCTTTAATAAGCCATTCTTCTCTACCATGGCAAATCATCTGGATACAAAATGGTCAAAATTTGAAAACACATTGTACTGCGAAAGAAGTGTTATGTCTGATTCAGAGTGGCTGAAACGTATTTCAAAAGCACTACAAAACGCACCCTCCATACTGGATCAATTCAAGGATCTAGTAGGCTTTATATCAGATTACGATCAAGACTCTTCCTCCTCCTCTGATGAGCAACAACAAGAATTCTCTCGCGTTGACTTGATCCCCATCCGATCGAAATTAGACAGACTATCTCGAGAAACCTACCCTCAATTTTACATCAACTGTCGAGAAAGCATGCAAAACGAACAGGCATACGACGCCTTTATTCATGTGCTAAATGACGCTAGTTTATCTGATCAAGCATGGCTCTTCCAGATCCATCAGATTTTGAAAGATCACAGTAATTTACTAAAGCAATTACAAGAGATTGTTGCTTATGAGACAGAACAAGATGTTTATTGAGTTGAACTTGTTGACAATAAAATGATATGCGTTCCATCAAAATCAGCAATGTGGGTGCTCACTAACCAATATACCACCTTTTTGAAATTGTGCCGACTCTCGCTAGCTTCTGGGAATTCCTATTCATATGTGAAAGATGACGTTATAATGTGGCATTTTACATACAAGAAAAAAAAAAAAACCCCCCCACGCCCTGTGATGTTTACCTCTTGTAATACACCAAGTGGTAGCTTGGTATCGTCACTGGCATACAGCAGCTCCAGAATCCTGCCAGCTGTTCTTGCAAATGCTTGGTCTGGTATAATGACTTGAAAGAGACGTTTCAACCTTTCAATTTGATTGGATTGTTCTGCTTTCCGTTTGGCCATGTCTTGTTGTATATCTTTGTAAAACTGCTCCAATTCAGCTTCACATTCCTTTACTGCTTCATCAGACGCTCGAAAGTCTGGCCGACTCGACGCTTTTTGTAGTTTTTCTATCACGTCGAAAAGTTCTCTGTATCGGGCAATGGTCTCTGAAAGCGACACATTGCTGGTTTCTTGTTGACCTCGATCTTGATCTGCCTCCGCCTCTGCCTCTGCCTGTGCTTGTTGTTCATGTTCTGCCTGCAGTCTCCGCTCTGCCATTTCTTCCTTTCTCTGTTGAATCTTCTTTTTAAAGTCGTCAATCTGCTTCAACAAACCCTGCTCATACTCGCCGATTTCAGCAGGTGTAGGGTTCTTTTCAGACTCGAGTCTTTTTTCAGTTTCCAGGTTCCTCTTTTGTAACTCGATCAGTATGTCTGTCTTTTCAGCTAAACGCCTATCCTCATAAGCCAACAGTTGCTCTAGCCTTGCTCTTTCGTTATCCAACTTTCTTAGTTCCTGCATTTGTTGAGGCGTGAATGGATGCGCTTGATTTGGCCTTGATTTCGACTTTGATTTTTTGGCTGCATTTTCAGTTTCTGTATTCTTGATCATTCGAGTCAGTTCATCTAGGTTATTTTGTTTCTCTGCTTTCTTGGCGATGAGTCGTTCTTCTTCCAGCTCGAGGTCCTCAATCGCCTTCTCTGAGTCTTGTATCAAAATGTCCAGTTCCGCATCAATAGTTTTACCAATTTCAGTTTGCGCAATTGAAATGTCGTTTTCAGTGACAAGTTCATATGGCTAAAAAAAAAAAAAAAAAAAAAAAAAAAACAAGGAAATAAATACAAATCGAGCCAAGACCGCATACAGATCTGTATAGACTCACTCTGTCAAATAAAGCTAATTGAGTCTGGCGCGAGAACTCTGCAGTTTCGTTGTCCAAGCTTTTGATAGTTGTGTCGAGCTATGTTCATCAGGTGTATCAGAATAGGATCCTCATCTGGCTGAAAAAAAAAGGGACTCACTATGTTGAGAATGTTGCTTAAGCTCTGAGTGGATGCTTCAAGGTCTTCTACCGATGAATGAGGTCTTTTGAACGTATCATTGCTATCTGTTTTGGGTCTTTTTGGATAGGTGGACATTTTTTAAAAGAGATAAAGGGAGAGAGAGAGAGAGAGAGAGAGAGAGAGGAAAAGTTTATTCCAAGAGTCACGACGACGACGACGACGACGACATCTCTTTTAAAAGGGCATCACAATCATCTGTACAGTCGAGCTGTCTATCAGAAATCCAGTTCCAATACTCTGTTTCCAGGAGCTGATATTCCACTTGATTCAAGACACGAAATGTAGACAAGAGCTCATAGCGAATAGCACCTAGCCTTTCTCTGGAATAGCCCAATTCAGCTGCCATCCATCGGTGCTGTTTACTTGACCATGCGTAATTGTAGTGTGTGATGCCTTGTCGCGTTGCCTGAAAATCACCGTAGATGCTTTGGTTCACCTTGTCCAGTCCAACCTCTCTCTCTACAGCGTGTTGGATGTCCTTCAGATACACGCCTCTCCACGTAATCGTCATCTGGTTGTTAGTATCGAGAAAGTGTTGATATCTTTGTTGGATGACAAGTTGGTACACTGTAAACAAAATACAAACACACGCCAATACAAACGATACTATGCTTACAAAAGGCGCGCGTTTCATTTGACCGCGGTGCTCATCTGTTGTTGATGGCAGAGATTTCAATCGATTTGCTGGTGGTGGCGTAAGAGGCGGCTGTGTAGTAGCAGCGTGCGCTTGGCGCTGTTGGCGGCTAAATGCTTGCTGAACAATGGGTAGTACACCTGCGATAGTTTCTTGCATGCCTTTGGTGGCTGCCCGATTGACCATGCTCTTGACAAAGATGCTTCGCAGCCACTCGACACCAAGCGAGCACACCAAACGACACGTCGACGCAGTTTCGTATGTGATGCAGTATCTGACGGTGGGAACAAAAGCATCCGCATAGGGTAGATTGGGTGTCTTTGTAGTGACCGATACAACATAGCAGGTGTATTCTTTTTGCCGTATGATTTCTTGCGTTTCCGTCACGTCTGTCTCTTTTGCCTTTACCATGGGATTGGACACAGGCATTGAATATTGCAGTGTGCGTTTGTTGTCCTGCCACTCAGAGACAGTGGGAGGCCCGTAGTTCTTGGATTCATTCAGCTGGGTCCAAATGTCACTATGCTTGAACAAGAGATCGAACACCTGCTTTGCGTTGGCATGAAGAACAACATCAGCTTCCACTTTATCCAGATGCTGGGTACAGTTACAATTCACTTTTTCGGCTGGCTGTTGAACATGAGACGGCAAATCGTGTTCCTGGTCTTGAGATGACATGCGCGGCGTAGATACTCTGGGAGTTGAGGAGGGTGTTGTGCCTGATTTGAGCACTGAGAAGTTCTTCTGGCTCCTGGCAGCTACAGCAGCTAATGCACCCTGAGCAGGAGATCCGCGATGAACAGAGGGTGGAGTTGCTTGAGACGTTTCCTCGTCTGATAGCTTTTGGTGCTGCTGGTTGTCATTACCATCATCAGTGTCGTCCGGGGCATGCGTGGTGGCGGATGAAGAAGCATTGGGCTGCATCATGACAGGCTGTGCTTGTACAGTCAATGGTGTTACGGATGCATACAGTGCGCTGGATGTCGTGACATGACTTGCTGGCGTCTTGTTCTTTTGCAGTTTGGCGCATGTTATATTTCGGATGGTGTCGTATAGTTGTTGCGTGTCTTGTGGATCATGCGATGTTGCATTGCTCACTGCCTGCTTTAGTTTCTCTGCAATCACGTCTGCACTCTCCAACCACAGTCCAAAGCGAATGATTTGCTTTTGCTCCGAGACATTGGCTTCTATCAACATGAGCATGCCATTTGAGTGAGCTGTATTTTCAATGGTGACAGAGTGGACCTTGTGTAAGGGTATAACAATCTATTGCTTCAAGTATCAGTGGAAAAGAAAAAAAAATTCATCCATCAGGGAGCAAGTGCTATAAATTACCATGTTAACACATGTCATGAGTGTACAGCTATAAAACCACAGGTTTCTCCGAGTCAAATAGGCAGTGCCATGATAGCCATACGTAGTCGATTTGCCAGTCGTAGTAATAGCATCATCTGAATTGCCTGTGGATGGTGCACGATACAGTGAGGCAGGAAAGGCTACACTTTTTACTTTAGCACCCACTCTATACACATCACCAACGCACTTACTTTCAATGACAATATCGTCTTGAGGCACATTATAAAACAGCTTTCGAAGCTCTTTCTGTGCTGTCTCCAAGCGAGCCGAGTAGTGGAAAAGAGCTGGCTTTGGCGCATCGGTCTCTAGTTTGTTGGGCCAAACAATCAACTCATTGCTACTACTAGTGCTGTTACTGTTATCAGACACATTCTGATGCAAATCCTCTTCCGAGTTTGAGAAGGCGTTGATCCCTGATGTCAACCAAGGCATGTTCCATGATGACCCGGAGATACTGCTGGTACTCGCATGACTTTTGCTGCTGTCTTGGTGCTGTGGTTGCTTGATATCGATTGCCTTTGTATGGTTGCCTTCACGGATCATCAGTGTCGTCAACGAAGAGGCTGTGGTGGATAGTATGGGCGTCAAGTTCTTTTGCTGAGATCCATCGGGACTAGGTAAAGGAGATGTTGACATTGCGACCAGACGAGGAGAAGAATCGTCTTGTTCTTCTTTATGGATTTGATCATTCATGAGGGCTGCCTTTGGACTCAACAGGAGCTGGGGAGATGTCGGTAATGGCCTGGCTTCGTGGTGTTGCATATTGTATTCAATCGACCATAGCCATTGCTGCATGTCTTGCTCAGTCTCTGCTTGTAGGAAAAAGTTGCATTTTGGGTGTGTCACTTCAAAGCAGTAGCGTCTGTCCAAATCCGTGCACACACGAAAGATGCATTCCGATATGCGAATACGGTCTCCCAGCACAATACAACCCTTTTCCTTGTGAATCGTAGATACAGTGCAAGTGCCCAGCCATCCCTCTTGCAAAAAGAACCACCGTCTCACCCAAGGAGATCGACTCTTGCCATTCATGATGCGACTGTTGAGATAGCCCTGCTTGCCTTTGGATGCTTTTCTGCTGACACCCATCGTGTTTGGATTCAGTTGCTTGGCTGCTAGTGTGGATGACAATGTGGGTGCTGTCTCTTCGTCGCCGCTGTCCATGGTGGTATGGGAAGAAGGCGACACGGCCAGCATGGGGTCGTTGGCAGCTGTTGAGTATTTCTTTAGCGAACGATGGGGTTTGACCTGTGCCATGTATAACTCTTGCAACTCTGTACAACGCCTTTGAACCTTATTTAGCTGGTACTTGCTTGTCAATTTACTCTCATCCAGCCATTGTTTCCAGCCATCTAATTTGGATCGAGCTGCTGTACACGAATAAGCTGATTCATCAATGTCTTCAATATGTGAACGCAAAGCGCCTGAAAAGCATTCAATCAACACTATTTCCAAATTGGCTTTGAATGACACTAACTTGGTAAAATGATCGCTGCTGCTTTTGACGTAGAGTTTTCGCATTTCGTACATTTGAAAAGCATCTTCTCGCAGTGCACTGGCTTCCTTTTGTTTGCTGAGCACGTTATATCGATTGAGTTGTGTTTCGTATTTATCAAGTGTTTTTTCAAACTGCTTTCGACTCTCCTTGAAGGTTTTGAGATCGTGTTTCATCAGCTGTTGCAATGGGCTCAGCAGTATGTCTTGTAGGTCGGATGCCTATGTGTGTGTGTGTGTGTGTGTGTGTGTGTGTGTGTGTGTGTGTGTGTGTGCGTGTGAGAAGTATTGAGCGTTATATTTTGTTTACATATTCACATACCAATTTCATCTTGTATGCAATTGTTGACTGTAACGTGGTAGCAAACGTTGTGACCACATTACCTGCCATCTTGTTATCTGTAGTACTCGAGGGGGTCAGATGAGTGTTGTTTTTTTTTTTTTTTGCTCTGAATACATTGGATGACTCACCTATCAAGGTACCATCAAGACCGCTGAAAAAAGTGCGCTTGCAGAGTGTGCTTGCTTGCGTATTGTGTTCTATATAGCAATGATGGTTGAGTGGTAACGTTAGCGTGTGTGTGTGTGTGCGTGTGTGTGTGTGTACTCTGGATACGCTTACTGTTGATGGCTTCAATGTAATTCTTGAGCGCACGGGTAAATCCATCGATCCATTTTTCAAATTGATCAATTTGCTCTTCCAGATGCAGTACATTGGCTCTCCAAACAGGTGAATCCAATATCACATCTTGTAACGTCAATAGATTGGTAGGAGACGATACAAGAAATGGCACTTGCTCTGTCATGTTTATTTTTTCTGTGTACACAAGGTGAAAGAAAAAAAGGGAAAAAGGAAAAAAAAAAAAAAATCAATGATTATGCAGATATAACAAAAATTTGCCTAGGCGCTTTTATTCAGCAACAACATGATTTAATACAACACTTATATCATAAGAAATGGTTTAGGCCAAAGCCTTTTGAAGAGCACCTGAACGCTCGGCAGCGAGCAAATCATCACAGCCGCCAATGTGCTTTTGGTTGATAAAAATGTTGGGAACAGTTCTTTGACCAGTCTTTTGTTGAAGATAGTCTTGAATGGCAGCACCGTTAGCTATACGTACAAATGTATTCGTCAGCTTGACAGCACCCATAGAGACATATAATCACCATGCACTTACCTTCGTCATCAAGCTCAATGACAAAGAACTCGACACCAAGCTTCTTCAAGACGTCCTTTGCGCGCTTGCAGTAAGCTAATCTCTCCCTGTTAACACGTTGTAACCCTCATACACATACCAGAGTACTTACGACAGTAGGACTTGGAGAAGACAGCGACCTTGTTTTCATTAATAATCTTTTCAACGAGTTCTTGTACTTGAGCCATTTCTTCTTTTGTTAATTGTTTAGATGAAAAAGATCCCATTCACTGGTTTGGAAGCAAAAAAAAAGAAGAGGTTTTATAATGTCAGATAGAGTGTTGTAATCTTAAATTCAATACGTCACATTCAACAAATATAGACTTTTGATTAGTAAACATCATCTACTTGGTAACGTCTTCTTCTCAGTTACTGTGTGAGCGAGGAGATCGTTGTTCTCAATCTACACTATAGCGTATTCAATGGCATTAAACGAGCTCAAGTTGAAGAGCTCTGCAGATGTGGTTTAATATTAACTTGATCAATTACAAGAGCACTAGTCATAAAATGCAATGTCTACACATTTTAAGCTAAGCAGCTTCATTTGCGACAGAGCATTAGCAGCATAATATCATTCAGGCATGATCAATCAAGGCAAATCCATTGCAAATATTATATCAAATGCCATAGCAAGGTCTTGTGCGATAGTTCTTGGGCTATTCTTAGGTTATTTGGATAAAATCATGTTAAGCATAAAAGTAACGCTATCTGTGTTATAGCCCATCATCATGCTGTAGACGGATTGATTTGATTGATCCCAGCACCTACCGCGCAAAATATGAGGAAAGCTTTCCGTTCAATGGCTGTCCTAATTTCATGTAGAACCAGAAGAGAAATCTTTAACATCGCAAGATGAATCCAGAAAATACAAAACTTTGACCCTATGTGTTTCAATCTGAGAAAACAGAATATTGTAAGAATGAAAAATCTCAACGGTATGAAGCAGCACATGAAAGCTCGTCTGGCAACAAAAGCCAAGGTAGGTAATGGATTGAGGGTACGGTTAGTCAAACGCAAATGGTATTAATGGGTTCGCTTGATGTATGGGAGCAAAGAAAAGGCTGCTGCAGGAATCAAAAATGACACAGAGAGTGTTGGCAATAGCGACAGTAACAATATGTATTATAATCACGGTGTCAACTTATAACATGATAAATTTATGGCCCCTAGACGCTTTCAAAGCCTCAGAACGGAAAAAAGTTGATTTCACAAGTATTTTGGTAGACTGGTATTATCAAAAACGAGTGTGTATGCTTTGGATGGGTCTCTATGTTCGCTTCGTTTCGGTGAGAACCAAACTGCACAGCGGCAGCTCGTGCTACTGATTGCTCTTCTGTATCTTTTCAAAATGCTGCTAATTTCGTGTTGACCCTCCACTTGCACATAAAAGCCCTTTATATTATCTGTGGTTCTGATTCTTATGTGATGCTCTACATCCCTATACTCGTAGAGACTACATATACAGGCAAGTATCAAATAGATATTGTCCCTTTTTAGCCAAAAGTGTGCCTAATACAGTAAAATCTAAGTGCATTTGAGCCGCGTTTTCTCGCGTTCAAGGCCGTTTTAGATCGTAAGAATAGTACCAAACAATGGCTCTCATCCAGCAGCTACTTGCTGGCACTTTTACTCAGCTTTTTGGGAATCAAAAAAAACATGGCCAAAATTCGACCAAAAAGCATGAGGTACCCCTCATGGTTTTCATCGAAAATCAAACAATTGCGTTCTTTACCTTGATAACGAAGACTTTTAATATGGTATATCTTGAATCAAAATGTTTCTATGGATCTAATGCAACACCTAAAATCATCTTTGTGGGACCTTGATATGTAAAATCTCGACATTTTGGCCAAACACCTCTTTTCATACTTTTATAAATTGCTCAGTAAGTTTATTCAAAATATCTATCTTGCTTGGTACCATTAGATGCGTCTTGAAAAGTACTCCAAGAAAGTATTAGGAAGCATCGGATAATCATCATGCTTTATAGTCGAATCTGGCAAAATAGTTCAATCAAGTCGAAAAAAGGCAAAATATGTCCAATCTTGAGCAGAAAAAAAATTTGGATTTGAATCTTTATAGTGTTGGGCGGTGTTGCTGCTGGCAGACCAGAATGCCTTCTGATGTTTGGGATGCTGATTAAATAGGGATCATGAATTTGAAAAGACTATCGCTTAGCCTGAGCACACTATTTTGCTTTTGTTGAATACTATCATATGCGGCAACACCGGTCAGTCTGACTCACTACCAAAATATATGTTATCGCAACTCCCTAATCATGATTTGCAGCATTTCAAATAGCTGCCTAATATTGACAAAACACCATCTCCACACGTACAAATGGGCAACGTAAAGCAACGACAAACTAGGCTACAGGCATATGCAACGTAATAGAAAGGGAGAACTGTAAACTTATAGCATTCTGTCTTATATGAATCAATATACCTAATATTGCGCTTAAGCGTCATAAGTACTGAATCAGTAGGCGGTGGTCCTTGAATAATTCCGTATCAAGCCTGTTTATTAAGCCCAAAAAATTGATACAATAACCAAACAGGCCATAAGTACTGTTGAAACATATTTGCGCGCGATATAGTTATACATAAGAGCGGCTGCGTTTTTAGTGCCAAATTAGGTGTGCGTTTTGCTCAAATCGCTCTATTGGCGTGGAGGCTGCGATTTTGTTATAGACCCCTCATACAGTTGAGCGGCAAACTCTCATTATTTCAAGATACGCAATCTTATGCATGAAGAGATCGAGATCCTCAAGCCATCATTGCATATCTTTTCCAAGTGGGAATGACGTGAATTGCTGCATACGTGTTTAGATATTCTAAATTCTCCAAATCGACGAGGTATAAAAATGCTCGGCCATCGCAATGCAACCCATTTATCAACTTGCTCCATTATTTAACAATGTCGCTTGCCTATGTTGTAACAGGTGCTTCTCGTGGCCTTGGTCTTGAATTTGCTAATCAATTGGCTGCCAAGGGTCATACTGTCCTTGCATGCGCTCGCAATCCTGCTAATGCTGCTGGCTTGCAGAAATTACTTGAACACAAACACTGTCATGCCATCACAATGGACACAACAGATCTGGATTCTATCAAGGTAATGTACCAATATTTCTGTGCGTGAATGAACCATACCAACAGCAATCTGTTGTTAGGCTGCGGTTGAACAGATGTCAGAATATGCCCCTCAAGGTATCGATGTTTTGATCAATAACGCTGGTATTGGTGGGGAAAAATCAACCAGGCCCGAGAATCTGTAAGTGTTGTCATATTTGTTCTACATGAGTAACTTACCGACGGGGAGCACAGATTGGACACTGATTTAACAACTCTCTTTCAAACAAATGTGGTTGGTGTATCCAACGTGACAAAGGAACTATTGCCATTACTTCGATTAAGAGGTAAAGATCATGTGAAGAAGATCCTCAACATGTCATCTATCATTGGGTCTATTGAACTCATCAATCAAGTGGCGCCAAAGAATGGTCAACCTGCCTGTAGTATATCGAAAGCTGCCCTAAATATGTACACTAAAATGCTGGCAAATAACCTCGCAAAAGAGAATTTCATTGTATACGCTAGTTATCCCGGGTGGTGTGCTACTGATTTAGGCGGCAAGAATGCACCTGTAAAGGTCAAGGATTCTATCCTGGGTCAATTGGCCAAGCTCGACAGTGCCACTGCCAAAGATAATGGCGGTTTCTTTGATTTCAAAGGAAAGAGTTTACCCTGGTAATGCTTCCTTGAATGATTGCAAAGAATGAATACATTAAAAATACACCCAAAGTGGTTGCGAAGTATCTACAGCCCTCTTTAAACAATGAATAAACTTGCGTGTTTTGTAAATTGAATCAATAAATCAGGGCCGTTATTCTCCACTTGAGATACAGCATCTATAGTTTGCTATATCAATGATATGCTTGGGAATGAAGCATGCTTTTGATACTATATAACAAAAAACAGGCAATACTGTGATATAACAAAAAACAGGCAATACTGTGATTCAACTACAACGTCTCTAGGTATATACTCCTTCACTGGACATAAGGCGTTAACTTGATTTATATGTTTATTAAATGTTGAGCTTATAATTGTATTCAAGTGTAAAGATGGGATCAATGTCCAAGATTTAGTTGCACTTTCCCTTGATACAGCTTTCTTGACAATCAGCTTGTGTGGAACAGCATGCATCCTTTGGGCCTTGTCCATTCTTCTTGCCCTTGAAACCAGCCTTGCATTCAGCACCACCAGTAGGAACAGGTGTAGAAGAGGTCTTGCTAGGAGGTGCAGGACCGTTACAGACACCTTTGACACAGGATTCGAAACAGTCGTCAGAGGTTTCGCAACAATAACCGTTGTAGCCATCTCCTTGGCCAAGACCTGATGAGCCTTTGGTACAGGTGCCAGGAGTAGCAGTAGAGGTGGGAACTGATGTCGTCTTGGTAGGAGGTGCAGGACCATTACAGACACCTTTAATACAGGATTCGAAACAATCGTCAGAGGTTTCGCAACAATAACCGTTGTAGCCATCTCCTTGGCCAAGACCTGATGAGCCTTTGGTACAGGTGCCAGGAGTAGCAGTAGAGGTGGGAACTGATGTCGTCTTGGTAGGAGGTGCAGGACCATTACAGACACCTTTAATACAGGATTCGAAGCAGTCGTCAGAGGTCTTGCAACAATAACCGTTGTAGCCGTCTCCTTGACCAAGACCTGATGAGCCTTTGGTACAGGTGCCAGGAGTAGCAGTAGAGGTGGGAACTGATGTCGTCTTGGTAGGAGGTGCAGGGCCATTACAGACACCTTTAATACAGGATTCGAAGCAGTCGTCAGAGGTCTTGCAACAATAACCGTTGTAGCCATCTCCTTGACCAAGACCTGATGAGCCTTTGGTACAGGTGCCAGGAGTTGTAGTAGGCTTTGTGGATGTAGTTTTTGTGGATGTGGTTTGAGATGTTTTGGTAGGAGGTGCAGGGCCATTACAGACACCTTTTACACAGGATTCAAAGCAATCGTCAGAGGATACGCAACAATAGCCCTTATACCCGTCTCCGTTGTGTTTGCCAGATGAACCAGAGATACAAGTGCCAGCGGCATTAGGAGTAACAGCAGCTTGAACACTGAGAGCAGCAGCAGCCAAAAGAGCTAAAGAGAAAGACAACTTCATTTGTTAAACTGAAAGGATAAGTGTTGATTGAACAAAGCAAAAAGAGTGCAATAATACTTGCTTTATATATGCATTTCAAACTGATTATTTTTAACTCTTGCCTTGTTCTGAAAAGGCATTTCTGATCTTGTAATGTCTATTTAATGGAGTGATTTAATTGAGTCGTGTACCCCTCCTCCCAAGTTTCAACGACACTACTAAATATATTACTTGTGAAGCATAAAATTATGCATTGTACAAGGGAGAGAGGGTCTATTTAAAGCTGTCCAGAAATGGGGCAAGAGGGATTTGGGCATGAAAATCAACTTAAGTTTGGACAACTCTGTATTATAAACACAAATCAAGTGTCAATTCACGGCAGTCATTGTATCCTAAATGTATTTTGTCTAACATTACAGAGATTTTCCTTCTATTCTGAAATGTGGAATGCTTGATTTTTTGGTTATCGTGATAACGAATTTGATGGTGGTTTCAGATACATTTATACGGTTATCATTATTTTCAAATTGATGCTTCAATTCATGAGCGCTGATTCGACATGAGTTACATTTAGAAAGTGTGAGAGTGGATTGATATCAGAAACAACTTTCAGCAAAATCTAGTATAATACCAGGCCTTGCAGGCAAACCTCTCAATTGCACGCAGCCTAGATTCAACATTCTGAAGCTCAATTACTCCTCAATGAATCTGACGAAATTGATCTACGATTTTAATTGATATTATAAAAAGCATCATTGTCGAGCGAAAAGAGTATACACTCTAATATATCCCGGTCTGACTATTTTTAAGCATATTGTGTAACAGGTTTTCTTGTAAACGTTGTTGTAACCAGAGTGCAAGAGAAAGAATACAGTTTGAAATTGTACTAAGTTGCGACATTCCCAATCAGGGAATTCTTCCAATAATAGATCTTTTTCTCCTGCAATGTTTTACAAGCAATGATGTTTGTAACCTGTGCAAATGCTCTCTAAACTTTATATTTTCAAAAAAAAAAATCTCTGCATTCCATTCGATGTTTCAATGTAGTAGATTGTAGCCTCAGCAGTGTATATGCCCACAGCGTCCAGACTCTCGATTTGCTAGCTTTTCCAGTAGTTCAACTGGATTTGGAATGAATGTAAATGAAGATGTGCATCATCCAGAACCCTATTTTAAAGGATCGTCATGAGCAATGTTTCTTGTGCCGCTCATAAAAAACCATTCGCGAACATTACTGCAATTTTTCACAGCATTTGAATGTTAACATATTCCCATGGAAGCTTAATTGAGACAGGTTTATATCCAAGCTATTTCTAAATGTCAATAAAAAATCCTCCATATCCAACTTGATTCAGAAGAGGGACGTCTTATTCGTTCCTCAATGAAGTGCGTTGCTAATTTTACTGCAAACAAAGTTTGCTTAAATTTCGTAATAATTCATCATAATATACGCAACCAATCGAATTATGAGCTGATGGCATTCGCACACTGTGAGATTTTTATAGAATATCCTGGACCAAACAAGTGCAGGGTCTGTTCTGATATTAGGGTTCATGCAAATGCATAGGGCACAAAAATAGAATCCAAAATCATCGGCATGGCTTCCAGATGGTTTATTTTGGGTACGGTGCTGACATGCAGTGTAATCCCTGCTCTGAACTATGTGCGAACTACCTTTATCGGAAGCAAATGTAAATTTAGAGATTAGCACTAGGGAGAGCAGCGTGATTTACGGATTCAGGGCGAGACTGAAATCACCCAGTGCTTGGATACTGGTTCAATCCCCGCTGATGCCTGAGGCAAAATTGTCCTCAATGACCTCCATTTGACAAAAAAAAAATCCTTCTATTGATTTTTCTCTTGCAACACCATATGCAAGCTATATAGCTTTTTGAGAAGTTTAAATACATCTATAAATTCCCTATCAAATGATACTAAAAACTCTACTATGTTCCACCAAAATTATTTCCTAAATTGGCAGAATTAAAAAAGACTTATTTGTTCGAAAAGTCTAGTTTCGCTTTAGTGAACATCTGAAATTACATCTTTTTATGATAAATCGAACTTTTAGCCATTGATTTCACTAGTTCATGTCATGGTAAAAACAGTCGTTTTTGAGGTGAAAAACGCGATAGACTGATTTTTGAGAAAATCCATGAGGTACCCCTCATGGAAATTATGGAGGATTTGGGTCAATAATTTTCGACCTAAAAAAAAAAAAAATATCGAGATAATGCTATCGCAAGCACGTACTAGTCCAGAGAAATCGTTTAGTACCATGCTTAGGATCTACAACAGCTTGTGGAGGGCAATATTGGCATTTGAATATCATTTGTTTTGTTGTATTTTGATCTATTGCTTACTCAAGAGTGGTAAAATCGATACAGTGCGCGATCCAAGTCGACCGCATACATTCATCTCCACGTTATGCACTTTGTAAAGATGAGGATTTTCTTCATAGTTTAGCTTTGAAGTGAATCAACGAGGTATTTAGTGCTGGTTCTTGCTTCTTGAGCAACAAATTGCAGCCAAGTTAAGTGGGCTTAACAAGTACATGTCTTGAGTCAAGATTGATGCTACCAGCGTTACGAATCATACAAGAAATATTATTTATGTACATGGAATGGGAATTGCAAAGCGCGCCGAAGCGTGTTTGTTGATGCGACTCATGACAACAGAAACAGTTTCGCCATTAAAGTATACGATCCTTTCGATACTTTGGGTGGTTTCCTGACCTACGCTTTACTTCGGTGGCAACCAACCTACGTTCAAACAGCTCGCGCTGCCGCAGGCCTTTGGCTAATATCACAAAGTTTATATAGCTAAAATGTTAGAAGAACCCGATATAAAATCACTAATCATATGAACGTTTATGCTTTGGATGGGTCTCTACGTTCGCTTCGCTTCGGTGAGAACCAAACTGCACAGCGGCAGCTCGTACTACTGATTGCTCTTGTGTATCTTTTCAAAATGCTGCTAATTTCGTGTTGATCCTCCACTTGCACATAAAAACCCTTTATATTATCTGTGGTTTTGATTCTTATGTGATGCTCTACATCCCTATACTCATAGAGACTACATATACAGGCAAGTATCAAATAGATATTGTCCCTTTTTAGCCAAAAGTGTGCCTAATACAGCAAAATCTAAGTGCATTTGAGCCGCGTTTTCTCGCGTTCAAGGCCGTTTTAGATCGTAAGAATAGTACCAAACAATGGCTCTCATCCAGCAGCTACTTGCTGGCACTTTTACTCATGGTTTTCATTAAAAATCAAACGATTGCGTTCTTCACCTTGATAACGAAGACTTTTAATATTGTATATCTTGAATCAAAATGTTTCTATCGATCCAACGCAACACCTAAAATCATCTTTGTGGGACCTTGATATGTAAAATCTCGACATTTTGGCCAAACACCTCTTTTCATACTTTTATAGATTGCTCAGTAAGTTTATTCAAAATATCTATCTTGCTTGGTACCATTAGATGCGTCTTGAAAAGTATTCCAAGAAAGCTTAAGAAAGCATCGGATAGTCATCATGTTTTATATAGTCGAATATTACAAAATAGTTCAATCGAGTCGAAAGTTATCAAGATTTGGCCAATCTGGAACAGACTATGGCCTGGATTTGAATTAATTTTGGCTTATGGGTAGGTTGGCAAACTCAATGCCCTTTTCATTATGTAGGCAATGCCGTAATAGATGCTTTTGAAGCGTATGGAAAGTAGGTGGCAAATTACATAGTGCTATTATTAGCGATGCTATTCTTCTTGCATTCTATATTTAATAGCGCCAGTCTACCAAAATACTTGTCAAATCAACTTCTTTTCTTTTTTTGAGGCTTTGAAAGTATCTAAGGATTGAACATTAATTATATAATATGATACTTTGGTATGTTGGATTGCTGTATTCAACTCAGCAGAATTCAGTCTCTATCTCCATTCGTTTTCTTCAAATCTCGATAACGATAAGATCTACTAAAAGAAATATACGCTCTGAACTGCGTTTTGACTTGTCCGGGTGCTCAGGACAGTGCTACATAACTCTTCCAACTTGAATATCAATTCATTATATAAGCAACATTTCGAATTCGTTGTAGGCAGCGATCTTTGACTCTTACCCTATCCCAAATATGAGCATGTCTACCATGTCCTCCTACTGCTATTTAAGCGGCTACTGCTCAACCTCGCTTTAAGTCAACTCAAAACGGCCTATCAAAAGAGATATCCATAAGCATGAATGGACTGATGCGAAATGACGGATAAAATCCAACCGCTTCCGTGTCTTGAAGCTAGTTGTATATAAAGAAAACAACTGCAGGAAATAATCGATCGTTGATTCTTATGTATCATTAGAATGCCTCTCACATATGTTATTACAGGCGCTTCTCGTGGCCTTGGCCTTGAATTTGTCAAGCAATTAGCTGCCAAGGGAAATACTATTTTTGCTTGTGCTCGTAACCCTGACACCGCTGATCGCCTGGAGAAGTATGTGGATAATAAGCACGTCTTTGCTGTCAAGTTGGATACCACGGATTATGAATCTATCAAGGTAAAGTGACATTAGCACTGATGTAGACGTAGCAACTGAAAAATGCATTTGCAACATAGGCTGCAGTTGAGCAAATTAGTAACATGGCTCCTCAGGGAATTGACGTCTTGATCAACAATGCTGGAATTGCTAGCGAAAAGCCTGACAGAGTACCCGAAAACATGTAGGTTTGAATAGTATAACAAGAGGCCCAGGCCCTCCATCTAATGCAATCTGTGTAGATTGGAGAGTGATTTAATGCACATTCTCCACACAAACGTCATTGGCACCTCTAACGTGACAAAGGAGTTCTTGCCATTGCTCCAAAAGCGTGGTGCGGATCATGTCAAGAAGATTGTCAACATCTCTTCTCTTCTTGGATCCATTGAGCTCATCAATCAAGCTTCCCCTACTGGTACTATGCCTTCTTACAGCATCTCAAAGGCTGCTCTCAATATGTACACTAAAATGCTTTCCAACAACCTTGCCAAAAACAACTTTATCGTTTACAGCAGTCATCCTGGATGGGTCAAGACAGAGGCTGGCGGCGAAGAGGCTCCTGTAGAAGTCGAGGACTCCATTAGCGGTCAGTTGAACATACTTGATCAGGTTACTGCTAAAGACAATGGCGCTTTTCTGGATTGGGAAGGAAATGCCGTTCCTTGGTAAAGATCAAGCATACAATCCGTTTTCATACAATAAACAATCACTGGCTTGTATCAAGACGACATGTGCATGAACTGCTCTTGGGTTTCTGCTTGAACGATCGACAGTATACCATAACATATTTGAGTCGATCTGTATAAAGCAGGGGAGGCATGATTATTGACACAGATTGATTGCGACATTTCCATGCAAGAAATGTACCACCTTCCCCGCATTTTCGACAATTAACTATATCAAGCAAACTGGATCCATAAGTGGATCGAGCCCTCTTAAAGTTTGTATATTGAAAAGAACCAAACAATGAGTGCTTTTGCGATTAGAGTTCATTTGGGTTTTCCGCGGCGAATACATGTCCAATTGATTTCCACAAGTGCATTATAGAGTTTGATGTTTATGCAGGCTAAAATGTGGGGGGGGGGAATGTCATGAGAAATCTGGGAACTTATTACAAATTACATGAGACTCTTTTTGTTGATTAATAATGAGCGCTATGCCCTCGATAGAGATGACTAGCTCTACGCTGTCAGATGTATAGAGAAGAGCTGTGCAAAGAATGTTGCAGTGCAAATGAAATATACCAAATCAAGAAGAATGTAAACGTTCGTCGGGTAAATGATTACACACTTTATTCGAGATAAAAAAAGTAACATTGCTTTGTATGTGCGTGTGTTGTGTGTGTGTGTGTGTGTGTGTGTACGAAATTAAAAAAATCTTTTTTTCGACTCAATAAAATATGCTACTATTCGTCTTGAGCTATGTCTTGATAGGCATTCTATTCTATTTTGAATATAGATATGAATCGTCTCGCACAACAACTACGCTACAGACTTCAGCAGATGACAGAGGCACCACTCGCCTTTTATTGATAATGTGGTTCTTGGCTTTGGTTATCTCGCCTCTGTGGATACTACTCACGGTGGCCGCCATGCCACTGGTGTTCAACTGGATTGGCCTCAGTCTTATTTTGCTTGCAATCGGCTTGCTCAGATGGACAACCTATGTCAACCCATTTTATTTACGTGCCATGGCAACAACAGACGATCACTTTATCTGCACGGATGGTCCATACAAGACGATTCGCCATCCTGGTTACTTGGCCTTTTTATTGGCCTGGATGGGATTTGGGTTCATGACCAATAACTGGATCTCGTTTGTCATGGTCACTGTGTTGATGCTCTGGGGATATCTGCTTCGTATTTTGGCAGAAGAGCAAATGATGTTGGATCGATTTGGCGTGGATTATCAGCAATACATGAACGAATCTTACAGGTAAATAGACAGGAGCTCATAATTTACTGCCTTGTTTGTTTGTTTGAGATGGGCCCTAATCTCTTGTTTGCTTTTTTGTTTAGATTGATGCCATTCATTTTTTAAGTTTCTCTCTCTCTCTCCCTTTGCAGTAATACCCAATAAAAAATGGTGTTTAAGCGACAGTGCGATATGACTTGTGTGGATCTGCTATTATATGGCCCCAAGTTCGGAGAGCAATGATGCAGATGATCAGGCATTTGACATGTTTCTGAAACTTGCACACACACACACACACACACACACCATCCAGATGACCCTAACCTTAGCTGTACTGAAAGTGAAATATGTGATATATATCCTTTTAGCGTGAAGATCTGTGAAGAATAGTTTGGCACTATCTCATTTTTAGTGCGTTTCTCTTGGCCAACAGAGGAAATGTTTCTGTTGCACAAACTATGTTTATAGCAAGATGCATTGGTGTAACTCAATCAAACAATTAGAGATACACACAGGGTGCGCTGGCAGAAATGTGCGCAAAATAGCAGATCAAAGGCCCTGTAGAACGTCCAGCTTGCCGTCAGTAACAAGGTATGCTGGCACATTTGGTAAAACTTGATGAATCTCAAACCACCTATGACAATCTCTCTACTTCAAACCCGGGGTATCAGAATAAGGCAATTCTGATAAGCTGCCATTTATGATATTCTCAGTTTCAACATTTGGCTCTAACTAACTCCCTTCCCTCCCTCCCCCCCCCCCAATTGTGATATCATTCAACCCTCTGATTGGATTGATAGCACTTTTTGAAGTAGAGTATATTTCAAGAAATAACAATTAGCCACTATCTGCCTGGTACCTGAACAATGATTTCACGTGGAACCCGATAGCCATGAAAAAAAGTATATAAAGACCTGAAATTTCCCATTGAAATGGGCTTATTTAACTTTTATATATCACTCATTTTCCGTTACTACTACCAACATGCTTTCAAAGTCATCTTGTATATCTGTTCAACTACTGGAGCCCACTATCTACGTGGAACCCAACTCTGACATTTGCAACGTGGTGCGTGGTACCATCAACATCAACCTGCCCAAGACGACAACAGTTAAATCCATCTCGGTTCGTTTTGATGGTAAAATGGAAACAAAGAGTTACAGCTTCGATTCTATGGATGCTGGTGGATTCGCACAAAAGAAGCCCTTGGCTCGTCAACGTCTCGTCTTGTATCCTACCATGGAACAGGTGGATGCCAATCGCCCTCTTGTCATGAACGCAGGCCTGACTCAGTTTGGTTTTGAAATGCAAATCCCATCCAAGTTGCCTGAAACCATTGATTGCGCAGATGTCAAAGTGAGCTATCATGTCACTGCTGTCATGGAATATCAAAGCAACTCCTTCTTGCGTGTGGGTCGTAGCAGTACTGTCAAGGAGTTTGCCAAGCAAGCTGTCCGTGTGGCTCGCTTACCTTATGAAAACATCTTGGGTGGTGATAGCATGTCTGATCCCATTGACTCTCGTACACACAAGTCTGCCTGGCTCCACTATCAAATTTTGGTAGATAAGAAGGCTGTTGCACTCGGCTCGGAATTGCCCATCACCTTCCGTATGCTGCCTACACACAGCGGAGTCTCTGTGGACCGTGTTGCCATTCAAATGTTGGAGCGTCGTGATTTATTCAGAGAATCTACGCATACAAGCCATTCAGTGCACTCCATTCTCCCGTCAGCTACCAACAAGACCACTATTCCTACCACGGCTCTATCTGAACCTTGGGAAGGCACTGTCAAATATAATATTCCTGAAGGCAAATCCCTTGTTCACTCAACACAAGAATATTCCGACTTTAATGTCAGTCATACCTTGCTTGTCTCTATCGCTCTTTCTGTTCCCGGCACAGGCCGTTTTACGGCTAGTCGTGTTCAAAAGATGGTGACATTCCAAGCCCATATTGACATCTTGGATAAAACTATCGGTGAATTGGACTCCCTCAAGTTGCCTACCTATGACTCTCCTCCTCCATTCGACAACTCTGATTATGTTTTTGGTGAATATGATCGCAAGTTTGCTGACCCACCAGCCTACTCTGAGATTTATGCCACTGAGCACAACTAAGATGGCCACTTGTACATTTATACATAGTAGAATATATACCCTCCTGTTTAATAGACTTTTGCATATACACAATAAACACACTTTGACGCATGTTTAACCTTTTTCAAATTAAATGCCAATTTAAACCTCTATCAAGAGTTTAGTCCATGAAAATGGGGGGGTTTTTTTTTTCAATCAAAAAGTCCAGATATACCTAAATTAGTTTTTGATCGCATAGATTACGAGTAGAGATAACACTTAATTTGAGCGCCTCAACGTTCCTTACTGCATAAAGATCTCCGTATGAAATCTCTTGTTCCAAAATCATTAATAATCTAAAGTCAATGGCATTTCGGCTTGAAGATAAATATATGAATTACACTGTGTTGTAGTAGAAACTTTGTAGCACTGGATATTCTGGAAAGTAGTAAATTTCTCACGGAAAAGTTTATTTGCATGATTTATTGTCGATTTGATTTCGCTCAGGGCATCTTCTGTTCTATTAAGGATTTGATGATGTGAATGATCAATGTAGTTTATATGTCTCTCTCTCTCTCTCTCTCTCTCTCTCTCTCTCTCTTAATTGGAATGGCGTGGATGGCAGCATCACATATCTAAGCTCCTGATTACTTGACGGAAACAAGGTTTATCCATTAAATCGCATTTCATCTCAATTGATCGCTTGATGGGAATCTGAGTAGAAAGCATTGATGCCACTGTTCTAATCTCTGGCCATTGACAGCCTTGGGATACTGCGTAAACCCCCCCCCTCTTTTGCGAGGACTAAACATGTGTAACAAACCCTGCCGTTTCATCCATTCGAAATGACGCCTGTAACCAACATGTTTAGATTTCACTATGAAGGTCTCGCAGGCGTAGTTTCAGGGGGGTTCTCTAGAATCCACATATTCACCTTGGATTTTACACACTATCATAGTAAAAACTCTTTGATTTCATGAAAAAAAAATAAAAAAAAAAATCATAAGGTACCCTTCCTGCTTTCCAGCCTTTTCTTTGGTGATGGTTTTCAGGTCCCACAGACGCTTTGTGTAGTCTATTCAAAATGACAAACATATAGATACAAGGCGTCCATCTTGACCAAGCTACCCGTTTTTTTTTTTTTTTTTTTTATTTTATTTCCGAGTGGAATGATCTTCTTTCGCAGGCACAAAAGACAATGTGCAGCTGTGTCGAGCATTCGTACTAAACAAATGCGCTTGGCAAAATGAGACCTTTATTCGTGCGATAAATATGTACAATTAAACAAAAGCATTTGGCCAAATCTCTTCAATCATGGGATTGCTCATCAAACCCTTGATGAATCCTCTCCAGACAGCACTCTTTGTAACACGGTCATCCCACGTAGCAAATTGAGTACCATCTACATCCTGAGGGTAACGGTGGTCTTGTAGCTTTTGTTTCTTTTTGGTAGCAGCATTCTCCTTATCAATCACCAACGCCTCGAAAAACCATCTTCCAAGTGTTTTGACAGTTTCGTATCGATTTTGCATCAACACGAGACAGTCGCTTGCAAAGACGCCCAATGTTTGGCCTTGAAAGAAAGACATGTTCTGCTCTGCACAAGACTCAAGACGAGAGGGAAGCACATCTTGCAATAGACAGCGCAGGAGATTGACGCAGCTGTTGTGTGTGTTTGCTGAATAGAGTAACGGGGTGGTGACGAGGCAAGAACCCAGTTCAGCTGAAAAATAGGGTCAATACTGTGCCAAACTCCATCATGTATACCAAACTCTACCTGCTCTGACAGCACCGCCTGATCTGCCGGCCTCCAGCACTTGATCTACAATCATACCGACAAACCAATGTCCTCCTCCAATTTCCAAGGCAGTTTCAAACAAGACCATATCCAGGTAATGCGACACCACTTGCATCTTGGACGGCGGCTGGTCATCCCATAGCGAGTTTGTGTCTGCATCCACATCACTCATAAACATGGATCGACCACTCTTGACAATGTATTTAAACATCAACTCTGCCTTTTCGAACAAGGTGCTTGGTGTCACGCCTGTGGTCACTGTCTCCAGGAACAAGACGGAATGGTCTTCAGTGAGTTTGTTGTTGTTGTTGTTGTGGATGTACTGCATCAATTCAGACATGTCTTGGGCCAGTTTGGCGTTACTTGCTTCCTCGTCGTCTTTGGATGCAAACGCAGCCTCCTGTCGCTTGAACTCTAGCAGCGACTCTAAGGACCCCAGAACCGGATGCAAGTTGAAATCGCGCGCGAGCGATGTATCTGACATGATCAACTGGCGAAGACTAGCAAGTGCAACGGCTGAATGGCCGCTCAAAAGTTCCTGGCAGAGGTAGTTGAATACACCGTACAGGGCAAAGTTGAGGAATCTCTTTTGAAAGTATGAAATCAGGCCCATGAATGCGTCTTGGTCCATGTGTTGATGGACGTGCAACAAGATGCTGCGTTGCATGATGGTTGGCACAATGTGGAGTAGTTCTTGAGGCGTCGATGTTCTGTCAAGTGGTGTTAGTAGCTTGTATTGCCTGCATTCTCCACCTACAAAAAAAAAAAAAAAAAAAAAAAAAAAAAAAAAAAAAAAAATTACCTCAGCAGCTCATCAGAGACACCATCGCCGCCTGCCAAGGCATTCATCCAACGATTGACCAAAGACTCCATGGATGCGTCCTCCACATCCACACCATATATCACTGGACACTCGTCAAAATAAGTGTACAAGAGCCCTTGTTTATCCTGAAAGACCTTGCTGATGTCTCGACAGAGCTGCAAGTTTAAATAGTGTTGGTTCTCTATATACCTATATGCTACATGCGCACACTTGCCTTAAACTTCTTGACAACCGAGACAGCAAAACTCCAAATGTTGCCAAACTTACTATACAGCAATTGCACACCGTCCAGCTCGTCCTCGCCTTCGATTCTTCTGGTAGTAGACTCATCCTCGGGTTCTAGTTCGTAATCTGCGGGATTCCATCGCGTGCAAATATTTTCCAAAGGGCCCAACAAGTCTGCGGGGGTATACAATTGAAGAATCAAGTCAACACTGCAAGGACATTCGGAAAGTGCATCACACATCTTGGCGAGTGCGTAGAAATCATTAGCAGCACTCTTTTGTTTCAACAGGCTCAGCACAAAATCAATGATTTTGCGCAAATGAATAGGAGACACCAATCCAATGTGCAATAGCTCGGTGAGTGCAGAAAACGACAAGTTGGTGGTAAGGGCTTCGCATCGAGCATCAATGTTCTACAGTGCCATGTCAGCAGACCCTATTGTATCTGACCTCTGCAACTTACTTGATCTATGGCACTGATGGGCGTCATCTTATCGACCGTCTCTTCCATGTCCATCATGTCACTCTTTTTCGTCAAGTCAGCTGCTACACTGGACCTCACAAAACCGTAGCGCTCGCAGACATTGACAATGTTGGTGAAAATGTCGTTGCTGCTGATGGATCGGATGGATTTCGTCAGTGTAGGTGTATTGAGATTGGATGTGTAGCTCATGTCGTTGATCATCTTCATGATATCGTCGTCGTCGTCGTTTTCATCCTGTCCAAATGCTATTTTATCGACGAGCAGAGAGGACATGGAATCAGGGGCGTAAAACTCGGAGCAACAAGCAGGTGGGCTGCATGCGTTGATCAATCCGCTGAATGCCTTGAGCTCCTTGAGAGACGCCTCAAACGAGTTGAACTATTGCACCCTATCAATAGACTGCCATGACGTCTCTTGCTTATTGCTCTACTTACCTCGCCTTCAGCAATCGCTTTTTCAGTCATAAAGTCGTTGTTCTCCTGCTTTTTGCTCTGCAATTTCTCTAATAAATGGGGCAGCTGGATTTTCAAGCGTCAATACAAGACACTTTTTTTTTTTTTTTTTTTTTTTTGGAAAAAAACTGACTCTGAGGCCTACCTTGACTAATACGAGACTCTTCCACAAGAGTCGATTGGTTGCCACTAATGCATTGCAATTCTTGTCCTGGTCGTCATTGTCCTTTGCACTCGCGGTTGTAGAAGGAAGATTTTGACAGCTGGTATTGAGTGAAGCTTCTCGTAATCCCGTCAGTGCAGTAAGCCAGATCTCCAGAAAGAATGACTCATCAAACGATCCCTTGATGGTTTGCAGTTTCAACAGGTGATCAATGATGTATTCATCGTCCAATGCTGGTCTGATCTGTACCATGTGGTATAACAATCCCATGAGCCCAGCGCTTGGCATGGCTCTTGCTGTACCCTCATCTTCCAATTCGTGGTATTTCATATGAACAGCCATGCGTCTCTCCAAGTCTCTGTCTGTCAGTCGTTGAATCAGCAGCAGCAGTTTCTGAATGTGTGGGTTTTGCGATGCTGCCGAGGATGGACTGCTACCGCTGTCATGCTTGTTGGCCTCTAATTTTGCTTGACACTGCACCCAAGGCTCATGATCCACTTCCATAGCACCTGCTTGGCGTCGCTGGTTGTTTCTCACTTGGAAAATACGCTTGGAATCTCTCTTCTCGATCAGTTGAATCATGATTTGTGCAGCCAGTGCAGCATTGTCGATTTCAACTGTCTTTCTGCTGTTGGCCTTTTTATCCGTGTCCATTGGATCTGCCATGTGTGTGTCTTTGACAGCTAAAGGTGGATCGTCGTCATCCATGATCCTCTGTGTATTGTCCATGTCCAGTGTGGCATCTGCATCGTAGTTCATGGATTGTTGCGATTGGAACGAGAATTGGGAATCGAAAGGCTGTGCGTTCGTATTGCTGTCGTTGTGAAATGAAAGGGCAGATGTCACTGTGGCAGGTGTTTGTGCGATCGGTTGAGTGTAGTAGTTGGGATAAAGACCCACAGCGACAAGATGTGACAAGAGCTGAAATACGTTGGCAAGTATATTGACCCAGGGATTGTCTTTTCCCTTTTGTAGATCAGAGACAATGTCGTCCGTGCTGAAATCGAGTAATTCGGGTAGTAATTTCAGTAGAAATGACCACTGATAGGGATTTCTGCTGGCTGTGGACTCCCCAAAAGGTATCAGCTTGGAAAGGAATGTGGTGGACATGACGATGGGGTTCATCTTTGCTGTAGTAGTACTGGTGGTGATGGAGTCATTATCCATCAGTGAGGGTTTACCTGTGGTTGCAAAAGTGAGGTACGATTCGATTAAAGGATCAGATACTCGGGTGAATGAAAATAGACATGTCAACAGTAGGTCTGCGACGAAGTGAGTGGTGTGTGTGTGTGAATGCTGATCTACAATGTGCAGTACTCACCACTGAGTTCTGTTTCTAGGTTTCCTGCCTCCATGCACTCTCGAGTAGGTTCTATCCACTATGGAAGAAAAAAAAAAAAGGCATGAGTATTGTATATCGCATGTGGTTTGTACAACTCTTTTTTTTTTTTTTTTTTACCTGCTCAGGTGTAAATGCATGCAAAAAAGCATAGCGAAGAACTGCTTCCAGTTGATCTGATGGATTCGTCATCATGAATAGAAAACTGGACAAAAAGGATAGCTGCTTGTTTGTCCCTCACTCTCTCACTCGCTTGCCATTTAGAAGGATTTCCTTTGGCGCGTCAGCCGTCACTTAGTTGATAATTGCAGTGTGAGCGAGCATGGATGAATCGGCTAATGTCTTTACCGGCTTGATTTGACATTGGAGAAAATCAAGTAAGCAAAAGAAAAAGGAGGTGCTGATCATGTTTATGTATTGCAATTAGGTATGAATCAATGCAACAGTGATAACAACTTGTATGATGGCACCAATTCGATCCAAGGCACCTTGAGAGATGATGTTCAGAGATCATAGTGCATTTGACAGACATTTGTCATTTCCACAGTGTTCTTCAATGAGCAACATGGATACATGAGCTTTCATTCATTGAATATAGATCCGCTTTTTGTTTCAAACGTTTGTCACTCTTTGCATTTAATCAAATCGCCTTGATGGCCAAACATCAAGCTTCGGCATCAACATGACGCAAAAAAAAAAAATGGTGGTTGGAAAAGGTACACTCATCATTTGGCTGCCTCATCAAAGATGACCTGCCAGGTTCAAGAGACCAACAGTAGCGCCTATGATGTAACATAGCAATCTACACACAGTGAAACGCATTCGAGTCAAATGTGTGTTCCTGAGCCACTGTTGGATCAGTCCATGAAGGAGCCAATGAGCTCAATACACTGTTTTCCAGAAAAGCATGTCCAATTGGGGAGGCGGTCAATCAACGATTGCTTTTACTTGAATTACATGTCTACAACATCAAGCAAGTCAAAGCTGATATACATCACGGCCGTTGCCATACGGCTGGCTGTCTTTAGCTTTCCGTCCATGTCGAGTACACTTGTTGAACGAGTCGAATTATCCACCCCAGTAACCAGTTTCAAGCGATGTATGTAGTAGTATGGAAACCAGACAAAACGATTAACATATTAGATTGACTAGTAACAGAAGGCGTCTATCTATACAATAATAACGTTCCTCCTTACGACGGAGGTGCTTTCCATCAAGCAAGTAGCCCCATGATTGTAACTGCCTGTTGTCTATCAACACTTTAACACCTATCCTACTTTTAGTCGCCACTCTTGCTATGTTTGTTCTCATTCATCATGGCGCTACCAGACAACACGATACCTGTGCTCTACTGTGCATTGGATGTCATCATTGCTTATACGCTATCCTGCATTGCACAGCTCAAGCAACAAGCAGATGTCAGCAAGCCAGTGCTGCAAGTGGAACAGGGTCGATCACCCATTCAGCCCACCACCGTCGCGGCTCTCTACCTGTTCAACCCATTGACCATCTTGTCTTGCATCTGCAAATCAACACTCATCTTCACCAACCTCAGCATCGCCATGGCCTTGCTAAGCGCATTGAAGCAGAAGCCACAAGCCAGTATGTTTTGGGCTGCGTTGGCTTCGTATCTTAGCTTTTATCCAGCCATGTTGGTACCTGCATTACTATTGATTTTGAAATCACCAAGACCTCTGGTTGTATTTGCTGGGTCCTTGATGGGATTGTTTGTATTTTCAAGGCTGTTTATTGGATCTTGGGATTTCATTCAAGCAACTTATGGTATCATGTAAGTGATTTCTCATGACGAGATGGTTGTAGGGAGAGAGAGAGAGAGAGAGAAAGAGAGAGAAAGGCTAACCATGGCATACACACACACACATACAGCATCTTTTTATCAGACTTGACACCCAATGTAGGCATGTTTTGGTACTTTTTCATAGAAATATTTGATCAGTTTAGATCATTCTTTATGGTGGTATTCCAGTTCCATACATTCATCTTTGCCGCACCCATCTGCATCAAGCTCAAGAACCAGCCCATCTTTGCCATCACCATACTGTGTGGCATTATGGCCATCTTCAAGAGCTATCCTTCAGCCAGTGATGCCGCTTTTTATCTGGGATTAGTGCCTATTCATGATGAATTGTTCAAATGTAAGCATTTTTATGGGTTTCTTATGGTGTGTTGCAAGGCACTTATATGTGTTGGATAGACTGTCGTTATGGCTTCTTGGTCTCCAATCTGTTCTTGTATGCCTCGGCATTGGCACCGATATTCTGGCATTTATGGATCTATGCAGGCAGTGGCAATGCAAATTTCTTTTATGCCATCACCCTTGTGTATAATCTTGGCCAAGTCCTGCTGCTAATCGATATCGTGTACGCTGCGCTTCGCAGAGAGTACGATATCAAGCATCCCGAGTCTATTGGTAAAATCGTCGTTCACAAATGAAAGAGTAAACCACAAGCGTTTTATTTTTTATGGTTAAATAAAAATGATAATAATGATGAAAAATAATAATGATAAAAGAGAGAGAGAGAGAGAGACTCGGGAAGGAAGAGATAATGCCATATAAGGGGTGTAGTGGAGAGAGGGGTAAAATTAAGCATCTTCTTTAACAATCAAATGAGGATCGGTTTGAACCATTTCAACTTTTTCTAATAGCAAGCCAGATTTGGACAAGATGGAGGCAAAGTATTCAGCTGTTTCCTTGGACACAAAGGCAACTTGCTCGGTTTCATTGCGCTTCTGCTCCTTGTTTTCAATGGCCTTTTGGATTCTATTTTGGATCTCCCAACCCTCCACACGCAGTACCTTGCGGCTCTCACGAGCAATGCGGTGGCCTTGACCTTCAACGTAGCCTGTATCACGGACAGCTTGCTTAAACTTCTTGACCAACTTGCGTTCGACTGCACTGCGCATGTCGCTCACCACATAGACCAAGAAACCGACACTCGCAACACCTACAACAGGAACAATCCAACGACGCAAATTGTTGTTGTTGCCCATCATGTTGGAAACACTCCAGATGCTAGAGACAGCATCCTTGAATCCAAGCATGCGACCACCCACCATGGCAGCTGCGCCAAAGGACAAGGCAGCACCTGACAATTTGTCATCCAGCACCAAATCAAAGAAATCAGTGGTTTCGACAGTAATGGATACTCTGCGCTCTCTGTTCTTGACACACATCTTGTTGACATCAGCAGCCATATCATAGGTGCCCAAATGCTCGGTACCCATGCTATGCAAGCGTTCCAAACAGACGGCGGTGTCTTGACGGGCATGTTGTTCCTCTTGGCGCACTTCATTCAGCAACTTTTGAACCATGGAGTCAGCAATGTCTTGAGCGTATTGCCAGATCAACAAGATACCAGGGTACTCAATGGTGCCGATAGCTTGACCGACATGTTCCACAGCTTGATTCAATCTGTTTTGAGCATGCATCTGAACAGAAGTGACAGCTTGCTCAGCGACCTTTTCGACTTGCTCCAACAAGCGATCACGCACACGCAACAAGTGTTGGTAAGCAGGAAGGTCTTGCTCCAGCTCCATGGTGGCCTTGGCATAAGCATCTGACGATTTCTTTTCATTGGCTTCTGACAAGACGTTGATGTCCTTGAGCAAGTTGATGAGATAGTTCTTTGCAGGCAATAATTTGGACTTTGTACGGTTCTCTAATACAAAGGCACGCAGACGTTGTTCTAAGCGAGCGAAATCTGGAGCATCCAACTTGCGAGACCCAGGTTCCAAATCGACGTTTCCAGCACTGACAAAGTGGACTAAATCATCTGCATCTGCATAGGTGGCGGGTGAAAGCTGACGAATCTGTTCCAAAATTAAGCGCTTGCAACGATCCTTGTCTCTGATCGAGTCAAAGCGATTGACAACAATGAAGATGTGGGTCTTTTCATTCGCTGCATTCCATAAGAATTCTTTACCCTGTGCATATGGTTAGTTGACCAGCATGGAGTGTGACAAAGCAAAAGACTTACAGAGAGTGTAAAGTGATTTTCAGCACTAACGACAAAGACAACAACATCAATTTCTTCTTGGCGAGCAAAGACGGCGGTTGTCTTGACTGAATCTGTATTCAAACCAGGGGAGTCGATAAGAGCAATGTCCACTACACCGTTGTGAAGCAAAGATTCTTGCGTAGTTCTAGCATCATTGGCGTAAATCTTGAGCATTTTGTAGTGCTCATAATCTTCCGTAATGACCTTGTAGAGATGGCGCATTTCAATGACATGATACGTGTTGGGATCAAGGCGGTTGTAAGCCTCTACAATGGGGATAGCATGCACTTGTTCCAAACCGTCGTTCAGCATGGCATCCAAGACCTCGCAAAAGACGCTTGTGCAGGGTTGTTGATCGGCAGGCAGAATCTCTCTCTTCAACAAGGCATTGACAAAGGTGGATTTACCAGAGTTCAAATCACCAGTAACTAGAACCTTGGAAGACGTATCGGCAATACGAGCTTGCAGTTTACCAAGATGGTTCAAGCTTTGATCCAAACGGTCAGTCAGCAAATTGGCAATGGATTTGGACTCCAGTGAACTGAGGTCGGTGGAGGAGTGACCCATCTTCAAGTCCAACGAGAGGATGTTGAGTTCATGAGGCAATAAGCGATGGTGTTCAAGTTGTTGTGCTAAAGAGTCTGTTTGTGTTACAGAGGAACGACGCACAGCGTCCAGGATTTGAGATGAGCTAGTGTCGAGTGTCTGCGAACGAGTGATGGTGGGCTTTTGTTGCATAGGATAAAAGATGGGAAATTTGTCCTTGTTAGCAGCCTTCAAGTCCTCGCAAATGCCAACCACAGAATGGATATGACTAATCAGACGCTGGCAGCTATCACGGTACGTTCTTTGCTCTTGAGCTGCGTTCAAACGGTGTTGATGAGTTCTGGCAGCATTGTTGGTGGATGTGGATGGCGATGGGATCGGGCTCTTTTGCAGTTCAAAAGAGCTCTCCATGGACGAAAACATGTTGCTGCTGCCACTGCTGCTCATACTGCTGCTCATACTGCTAGGGCTGAAATAGGAATCGTCCATACTGGGTGCTGAGTTACGTCTCAATGAACGCTTTGACGACATGACAGAGGACGGCACTCCGAATATTTGTGATTGTGACATTATTCAAATGCTGATTTCCTGATTTTTGGCTGTTTCTTCTAATGAAATTGGTTGAAAGAAAGGGGGAAGGGGAGGGATAGAGAACAAGCAGAAAATAAAAATAGAGAAAAAAAAAAAAAAAAGAGAAGGGTAAACAAAAAAAAAATCTTCCCATTTTGTTTTAGGTTACTTTCAGTAATCATGAATTAACAACAGACCTACCCGATTGGCCTACCTTGTCGAGTCACCCCAATTCACACTTGAAATCAGTACACAAAGACCGAGGGGGAAGAGACATTGCAAGGATCTGAAGGGGGGGAGGGGGGCTTTTATTACAAACTCTACGGCGAATATTTTGTGTGAGCATTCATACTGTAGAAAGTGTTTATTGTACTAAATGACATCATGTAAACAAAGGTTCAAGAATTCAACTGTGGTTTCATGGTGGTGCCATTGATCCATGATTTTCAGCATTTGATTGTCCACATCATGGGCTCCGGTGTCTCGAGTTGTGTCTGTTGCTGTGCTTTGATACAGACACTAAAAAAGGGCTCCTTTTCACATTACGAAGCAAATGTATAGGTGTCTGGCCTTTTTGAAAGAATCGTACAAGCTAAAATGTCATCAGCTGAACCCTGCAGCCTGGCCTAATCGTTTACAGCGCACATGTGCTTTTTTAAGGGAGCTATCTCAGTGCTGCCTCTGCTACTCCACATCTCTCAGTGGCATTTGCTGATCGATTATTTGAATAATCGCTGATCCAATAGCGTTCGTTCTGGAGCATAACAACTATTTGTAAGATGGCCGACCAAACAGATGTCCAACATCCCATTATTTACAGAACGTATTCTATGAATGGATGCTTCTACTGATCGCAGACTCTGTTTTTTGCTGCATTCTACATACTGTGCCTTTTAGCTTGAAATGTCTTCAAGCAGCTGTCACGTATACACTCATAGTTCTGCAAATGTCTACTGAAATTACATATTTCAATGTTTCTCTATAGATAATAACCACCTATGAATGACCTGTAACTGCAGGCATGACTTTTCTGCAGTGTTTCACATCTGCATCCATGGAAACAATGCATATACGAGCAGGCGGCACACTTGCATTACCTCTTACTACTCAAAGATTGGCATTATACAGTGAAGTTTGAATGTATTTGAGCCATAGTTTTTTTTTTTTTTTAGCTGGAAGCTGTTTCAGACCGCCAGGATAGCACCAAACAATTGCTTTCATCTCGTATTTGCTTACTGACATCTTTGCTCAAATTGTTTTTGACCGCAAATATGAAGACATTTGCAGAAGCATATCACCAAACTCCTAAAATAATACATTTTATTCTGCCGTCACATAGTAAAAAGTTAATTACAAGAGTGCCCGTAGGGAAATCAGCCATTACTGTCAGCTTGGCAGAAACCGCCCTGATTCTTTGAATACTCCAGCTGAGCCATATACTGTAAATTTTGTTTTTCACAACTTTCCTGAAACTGCAAATCCTGTTGTTCCTGAACCTATTGAAGGTAAGATTCCAGTAACAACTTTTCCAACGTACATGAGCCCACTTTTGGAATTAGGAGCTACCGTCAACGAGAATATAGTAAGGTGTAATTGGTGTGGCCGCACTGGACACCAAAGGCGTTCGCATAAGGATTGTGGAATGAGGATACTTTGAAATACTTCTGACAGAAGAGCAACTTGCCCATGGTGCCATAGAGAAGGACATACACGCAGAAATCATCTTGACTGTGCGCTAAATCCAATCAATCAGCCATCTGAGCAACCGTCTCCAACACTAATTGTACAAGGCTTTCCAAATGCCTCTCAATCTGAGGCCACAGCTGAAACTCTGGACTCCAATGTCATCGTAACAGCAGTTGTATGTCCCTTTTGTGGAATAGAAGGGCACCAACGCCGATCTCATTATAATTGTGCCGAAAATCCTCTACGTACAGGTGCAATAGATTCTTTTTTGATGGCGCGAAATCCTGAAGCACCTGAGGCTAACCGAAATGATTTGGGAGGCATGAATGCCTTGTGCTCAAAATGTGGATTGATGAAAGAAAGCAAAGAACAACAAGGGCTTCTCCAACGTTTCAAATCTGCTGTCAAGATGGCCAGGCAATCTTGAACCCAGTATACCATTTTTCCAGAGCTTATTTTCAATCTTTTGAGTGGCAATGACGATGTTAGCAAAGAGTTCAAATCGAACATTAGAACGTATAATTCTGCTCTCAGCTTTACCTCCATGAATGCAACTTTAGATCAATCAGTTGCGAATAATCAAAATGGTGCCTACGCATTCCGTATTCACGGTAGCGTCTATCATCTCATGAGCTCTGCACTTATGCCAGCAAATGATACACGCCCAAAATTTGCTCAAATATATATATATATATAAATATATATTCGATGGGGAAAATGAGCTGGAAGCCCCAACATTGAGAGAACCACTATGCGTCTCCTCCAAAATATGATGCACAAAGTCAATCCTTTTGTTGACTTATTTAAAATCATGGAGGAGCTACCTCATGCTTTTTGGTTGAATTTTGACAATGTTTTTTTTTGATCCCCAAAAAGGTTGAGCAAAGGTGTCAGAAATTAACTGCCAGATGAGAGCAACCGTTTGGGGCTATTCTTACGATCTAAAACGGCCTTGAATGCGAGAAAACGCAGCTCAAATGCACTTGGATTTTGCTGTATTAGACACACTTTTGGCTAAAAAGGGACAATATCTGTTTGATTCTTGCCTGTATATGTAGTTTCTACGAGTATAGGGATGTAGAGCATCACATAAGAATCAGAACCACAGATAATATGAAGGGCTTTCATGTATCAGTGGAGAGTCAAAATGAAAGTAGCAGTATGTTGATAAGATATGCAAGGGCAATCGGTAGCACGAGCTGCTGCTGCGCAGGTTGGTTCTTACCGAGGTGAAGCAAGGGTAGAGAGCCATCTGAAGCATAAACACTCATATGCCATAGTAAAAGGCTGTTTTTCAAGTCAAAAATACGATTGTTTGATTTTGACGAAATCCATGAGGATTAATGATAAGAGAATGTAGACTATACTCTTGCAGAACAGTAGAAACTTGAAATGTGGCGCTGTACTGTATCAGGCATCTGTTTTGCACATACGGCTTGATTCGTTCCACAAACATATAAATCACCAATACATTCATTAAACGAGATCTTTTTTTTTAAAAAAAAATACCAACATGACAGTAGCACAGGGTCTCTAGCGATGTAGGGATTATGAGCTACATGTCACTTTAAAATAGCATAATTTATATATCCTGTAGTGTCTGTGGAGATGGATACGCTGAATGTACGGTGGTAAGCAAGTACAAACAAGGCAAAGGATGTGAGATTATATTTGCTGTAGTGCACAAGCACGCGAGCACGAAAAATACGATCATCTCTTTTTTTTTTTTTTTTTTTTTTTGATCCAACAAGATGTCAATCGCCCATCTGTGTAAAACTCTGTCCTATTATAGAAATTTGGCGGCCACTGCAAACGAGCATTGGAGCTCTGTTATTTGTGATACACACATATTTACAAGATACAACCTAAAATGACGCCTTTTACAAGGTTTACAGCTTTTTATATAGTTTACAATAACATGATGTGATATGGAATGCGATTGCGAATCTCATTTGGACATTTCATAGGTCGATCCTGTTGCGTGGGGGGAGGGAGGGGAGAAAGGGAGGTTACATCCAACGTCGCAACCAGTTTCAAGTATTGCGCCATACAGGCAACAGAAAAAAATAACCATGTTTGATCTGGTTACACCACTACCAAGCATTTACAAACAATACACAAAAAGAAAAAGTGAGAAAGAGTAGCACTTTTATGGATTTAATCATTGAACAATTAGTGTAACTAAAAGGCGTTATTTACTAGCTAATCTCTTGATTCTAAACTTGTCGCAGATGGGCAAATATGTTCTACAGGGCTTATCGAGACGAGGATATTGAACCACGACGTAAAAGAGGACAAACATGCAGAATTGCTTTTGAATCCATCTCAGAGGACAGTAATCTTGCATGTAGGCTTTCATTTCCACTAGGCTCAGCTTTTGATCGTTGTCTTGTTCTTGTGTCTCCTCAGCAGGTGGTGTTTCCGTATTTGGCTTTGCATTGATGATGGTTTGCCAAAGAGCACTGTCTGACAGAGCAGCAACAAATTTGTCTTGGTGGTTATTTGATGATGGTAATGGAGAGAATGAGCTGGGAGGATGAGGCATGGTGGGGTCAGTCATGGTGGAATTGGAGATCATGTCCTCTGTTGTCATTGTCATGGTATGCTGTATGACAATCGACATGAGAGCTGGAGCCAGTAATGGATAGTTGCGGATCAGGTCGACAGAAGAAGAGGATGGTTTGCGCAACAATTCAGACAAATTCCAATTTGGTACTGTGGCATGAGCTAAATAGACATTGGAGACACTGACGGTGGATGTGGATGATAGGTTGGTAGGGTATGAGGATGAAGTAGATGATGCTGTTGTAGGTGAAGTAGCTGTGGTAGTAGTGATGGGTGCTGCTGCAGCTGCAGGAAGAGGAGGAGCACGCACAATGTCCCACTCCAGCGGATTGGACGATGCTGTCGTAGGTGGTGATACAGTGCTATGGGTCATGTTGGTGGTAGAAGGAAGTTGTGCGATGCCTCCTTTGCAAAGAGCAAGCTCAAGACGAAGTTGATCATTTTCAGCCTGAAGTTTATCCATCATGCCTCTGACCCACTTGACTTCAAGCTTGAGTTGGCTGTTCTCTGCTTGACATTTGTCCATTTTCTCTTCCAATGTAGCCATGTACTCCTTGCGTCTATTTCTAAAGTTTCGAGCAGATATCTTGTTTCGTAACTGCCGTCTTTCTTTTGAGGGCATCATTTTTAATTGATCCTCGGTGGGGTCATCGTTTTCATCTTCCTCAGAAGGAGAGCTATGTCCATTCTTACGTTTGCCGAGTTTCGACTCCTGTGGTTGAGGTTGAGGAGGCAGTGGTGGCGAGTATTGGCTGTTGGGGAGAATGGGAGGGAATGAAGTAAGGGCATTCTGCTGTTGCTGGTGTTGTTCATCGACAAGCAAGTAGCCCAAAAGTTCATCGGAAACAGGTTTCTCGTTTGAATCTGTTGTGTCACTGTTTAGTATCCAACTCAAGATTGGATCTAAATCATTCATGTTATTGTTGTTCATTGTAAAATAAAGGGCAAGTAAAAAAAAAAAAAAATCAATTGGAAAGGGGGGGGTGGAACCACGCCTAGTCCGTGTGAATGGATGATTCATATATAACTGAGCGTTTTTTGGACCAATAAAAATGAGTAGAATCAAGGTTTTGGCGAGATGGAACATGTACAATGACAAAGGATGTAGCAGCCGGCTCGAGGGTTGCCATTGGTACCTTTTTTTTTTTCCTTGTCGATATGTGGCCCAAAGGGGGGGAGGGGGGGAGGGGAAACCTTGATTCATCCTCAAGACCTATCGAAATGAGTAAATATCTCGAAATGAAGGTGAGATAAAGTACAACAGTGGAGAGACGCAGTAGCACAAGAAACGGCCATGTACAAATAAAGCAATTTCAGTGTTGAGATTGGCACAAGGCAAGAGTCAAGCAAATATATATATATATATATATATAAATGCAAGCATATACATCAAAATCAAAAAGAGAGATCATCTGATGGAATACAATGATTCGAGGAACACGCATCTAAAGTTCATGGATTTCATTGCAAACAAAACAGGCAAAAAGATGTAATCACTGAAAGCGATTGCGCAATAAATGTCGTACTAAAAAGCACAAAAACTGCATGACAGCAATTGGTATAAATACTCGACACATCCTGAAAACAGCACATTTTGTCTAACAAACAATTGCTCTCAAAGATGTCTGATCAAAATCCCATTGCTCGTTCTTCACTGCAACAGCAGCAGCAACATCCAGCAGACATCATTATTGATTACGAACAAGACAGCTACCGAAAGCAAAGCCAGGAGTTCTTTCACAACTTGCCTCATTACATTCAGGAATACATTGTCAGTCTATTCCCTATTGCTACTTGGATTCATCGTTATAATCTTCAGTGGCTCATCCGTGATCTCATTGCTGGTGCCACTGTCGGTGTTGTGATTGTGCCTCAGAGTATGGGATATGCCAAAATCGCTCAATTGCCTGCTCAGTACGGTTTATATACGGCTTTTGTGGGTCTATGTGTCTATTGTTTGTTTGCTACTTCAAAAGACATTAGTATTGGTCCTACAGGTGAGTGTGTCTTGGCTAGCTGAAATCATCCCCACTTGTCACTTACATCTCTTTCTCTCCATAGCTGTCATGTCTTTGCTTGTAGGTCAAACTATTACTAAAATCACTGCTGAATACGATACCATCACGGGCCCACAAATTGCTGTGGCTCTTTCGCTTCTTACGGGTGCTATTGCCATGTTTATTGGCCTTGTGCGTCTCGGTATTCTGGTAGACTTCATTCCAGGCCCTGCCATTGCTGGTTTCATGACAGGTTCCGCCATCACCATCTCTATCGGTCAATGGCCCAAGTTGTTTGGTATCAAGGGCATCAACACTCAAGATTCATCCTATCTCATCTTTGGTAACTTTTTCAAAAACTTGCCCAACACCAAGCTGGATGTCGCTTTTGGTCTCAGTGGCCTCGTTTGGCTGTATGGCGTCCGTTACGGTTGTACTTGGTTGGGCAAACGCTATCCCAAATACGCTACCCATTTCTTCTTCCTCAGTATCATGCGTAACGGTGTACTTGTCATCTTTGGTACTCTGATTGCCTTCTTGATCAACATTGGCAAGTCCACAAGCCCCATCAGTATCCTCAAGACGGTGCCTGCTGGTTTCCAAGCCATGGGTGTCCCTCATGTGTCCACTGATCTTATTTCTGCTGTCGCTAGTTCTCTGCCCTCCGGTGTCATCATTTTGGTATTGGAGCATGTAGCCATTGCGAAATCTTTTGGCCGTATCAATGATTACTCGATTGATCCCAACCAAGAAATCATTGCCATTGGTTTCACCAACATTTGGGCAGCTTTCTTTGGCGCTTATCCATCCACCGGTTCATTCTCTCGTACTGCCATTAAAGCTAGATCAGGTGTCAAAACTCCTATTGCTGGTATCTTTTCTGCCTTGGTTGTCATCCTCGCTTTGTATGCCCTCACTCCTGCTTTCTACTTTATTCCTGATGCTACGCTTGCTGCTGTTGTTATCCACGCAGTCTCTGATCTGGTCTCCGGCCCTGAATATGTCAAGCGTCTTGCAAAAGTGTCTCTCTGGGAGCTCTTTGTGTTTGTCGCTGGTGTCATCATCACATTCTTTACTACCGTTGAATATGGTATCTATGCTTCTGTGGGTCTCTCCATTGTCATTCTTTTGTTTCGTATTGCCCGTCCTCGTTTCTGGAGCCTCGGCCGCATTCCCTTGTCTTCTGCTACATCTGCTCCTCTCGTTTCTGATACCAAAGAATCTGCTGCTGCCGAGCAACAATACTTGTATGTCCCTCAAAACCACCCTTCTTTGGGCAAATTAGTCGAAGACTTACCTGCTGGTATCTTGATGTGCCGTATTGACGAGTCCTTTACCTATCCCAACTCTGGTTTCATCTCTGACAGAATCATTGCCTACTGTAAGGAACACACGCGTCGCCACCAACACTTTGTCTCCAAGGGTGATCGTGCCTGGAACGATGATGCCAACCCCGCTCGTGATGCTGAGCGTGCTTCTTTACCTCGCTTGCATGCCTTGATCATCGACTTTGCTTCTGTCAATCGTTTGGATTCCAGCGGTTTGCAAGCCATTGTGGACGCCCAAAGTGCTCTTAATCGCTATGCTGGCCAACATGTAGAGTTCCACTTTTCCAACATCCTCCATCCTGCTATCCGTCGTTCTTTGATTGTGTCTGGCTTTGCTAATCAACCTCGCTCTGGTTTCCAAGATGAGCAAGATCAAGCTCAAGCCAAGGAGATCTTGCCTATTGTGCCTGTTTCCAAAGACGGACCATTGCAGCGTCAGCAAACCAATACCACCACCCACAACCACAATGGAGACATTGAGGAAGTCGTTGAAACCCATGATGCCTATGACAAAAAGACTGATTTCAGCTCATCTGACGTGGAAAGCGTGAATACTGCCCACTCTATCCCTTTGCCTCGCGATCGCTACCCCTTCTTCCACTGGAGTGCTGACGAGGCCGTAAGAACCGCATCAAAGACACTGGTCTACCGTCCCACTGGCGACTCTGATACACAGCTTCCAGCCTCTGTTGATGTAGAGGCGCATCACTAATCCCTTTCTGTAATTCTATCAACTATACTTTCTATACATATTATTAGCAACAACAAACTCCCAAAAGATAATAGCCACTTTCATATTTTGCATTCTTTTAACCTAATTTATTAATAAACTATTTCATTACGCAATACGACTTGTATTTAAAGTGGTTTTTGAGCAATACAAGTGTACCAATTGACACTGGTTTGCAAGGCCTCAGCTTCCTTGGCACAGTTGTCAATGTGGATCGCATAGAGCTCTTCGTCTTGCCATTCCGCATTAGACATGGCCATGACAGGGCGCATGTTGGTGTAGCCATGTTGATAGTCATCCCACAACATCTTTCCAGCTTGACCGCCATGGTTCAGCTTGAGAGCTGTTATTTCCACTTGAGCATTCACAAATCCAGCCTTGATAGCACGACCTTGCAACTCATTGGAAATCTTGGGTGGCATGCCTCTTGATTGCAGCATGTTGGACACTAATACATACGTAAATGCATGTGCAAAACGGGGCTTCATTCTATACTTACTGGTGTGTTGCAATTGCTGGAGCAAAGGACCCATATTATTTAACTCATGCAAGTCAGGCTGCAATCCATGCGTATATTAGCCAAGGTGATACATCGTTGATTTATCAGCGACTTACCTCGTGCAATTCAATATAACCGCCAGGTTTCAATACACGAAGCAATTCTTTCAGAGTCTAGCATGTATCAGATGAACATCTTGCATGTATTCTCGAGCAAAATACACTTACGAAATCCCAGTTAGCATCTGTCAAGCCCAAAATAAGCAATCTTTGATGAATAAAATCAAAGTGATTATCAGGATATGGAATCTTTTCAGCGATGTTTGCAATTGTAAATTCACAGTTGCTTGGCTTTGTGTCTTGAGAAAAAGCGCTTGTAATATCAATACCGCAGAACTTGGAATTAGGGAAATCTTTGGCCATATCAAACACCCAGGATGCTGGGCCACAACCAGAATCTAACACTGTGATACCTTGCTCCAACTTTTCTTGCAGTGGTGCCTGGAAATTACTATAGCAGTGTTCATGAGTATACTGTGAGATATGCTAGCCTTGTATAGTATATATGTTATTACGATTGAAGTGTATATTTCAAGACGACATGTTGCTTGTGAACACGGCTCATTTCTTTGTGAAAGAATGTGAGTTAGAAATCACAAGCACACAGACATTCAGCATAATACCATCATTATCCTCGGGCAAAAGATAAGCAACTTTCTCATTAGCATGAAAATTTCTACCATTCAAAATTTGATGTTGAGGTTCAATCATTTTGTTCGTGTTGGGTGATGGGTTGGGAAGGAAAAGGGAAACGAGAATTAAATATACACAACATTCAAAAGGGCATACACTTAATAAATGGCGTGGTCGCACTGGTACCACACCCCCATCAGGATTTTATTACAGCTTTTGAGCATAGTAAGCATACCAATTGATACAGGTCTTGTTGGCCTCTGCTTCTTCTCCACATGCATCAATATACTTTTTCATATACTTGAACATCTGGCCACTCTGGGTTACTTTTAGCCATGACCGGGCGGATGTTGAGGTAAGCATGTTTGTAGTCTCCCCCCTATACAAGACATGTCAAAAACGTCCATAGATGTGTAACACACACACAAGGCAGATATTACCATAGTAGATACCCCGCCTTGTCAGTATGGTTGAGGTTGAGTGGAGTCATTTCTAGTTTAATATTGACGAATCCTGCTTTTGTTAACCGACCTTGTAATTCAATAGCGATTTTAGGTGGCATATTTCTTGAAAGTAACATGTCTGACACTAAGCACAGGTGTTAGTCTTTGATTGTTTTACACATGCTCGAGTTCTTCTCACTTGTGTATTGAATTTTGTGCAATAAAGGGCCCATGTTGCATATCAGGCTACACCAAGTGGTTATTTCATCTGGTGGATATACAACATTCGCTGAGTTTTACCTCTACAATCTCAATATAACCTCCTGGCTTGAGCACACGATACAGCTCTTTCAGTGCCTACACGCATGTGGTCAGCAAGATGCTAGTATCTGGATTTCTCGTCAGCTTACATTTTCCCAATTGTTATTTGTCAAACCAAGAATGAGTAACCTCTGATGAATGTAATCAAATGTGCTGTCGGGAAACGGAATCTTTTCAGCAATGTTACTGACACAGAACTCTACTCTACTCTACATTGGGAGGCTTGATGGCTTCTGGAAAGACGCTCAATGCATCAATGCCGTGAAATTTAGAATTGGTGGGGGTATGTTTCTCCCATCTCCAAGGACCAAGTGGCAGGCCCACAGCCAGAATCTAATACAGTGATGCCTTGTTGCAACAGTTGGGTTACTGGAGCGTGATAATTACTACACAGGAATACAAGGTTAGAGTTGATTTATCTTGTACATTGGATGGCTCCAAATATTTAAATACCGCTGTAATGCGTATCAAAGAATCCAGTGTTGCTGATGCACTCTATCTGCCTCTGCTGAATGCATTAGAAGATACTCATATACGACCACACGCTATAAGCCTACCGTCATAATCGATAGGAAACACATAGGACACCTTTTCGTCTGCATGGTATCTTCTTCCGTCTCTAAACTGAAACTGTTGATCCTTGGCGGATGTCGCTATTGTTGATGGTGAAGTAGACACATCCAACGTGACATTGGCACCATTTGATCTGTTCTATTTCTTTTTAAACGTTACAAGTTTTATCTTAGTTTTTGAGAAGAAGGTTTGACGTACTATAAAGAATACCATTTTCTTGAAATATATAGAAAAAAAAAAAATAGAAAAAAATAGAAAAAAAAAAGTAAAGAAAAAGAAGGAAAAGAAATAGGCAAAAGGTTGTGATGTTGAGATGGATCAAATTGCAAGCTTCTTTGTATATTCATGTAGCACCCGCTTTTTTTTTTTTTTTTCTATTTTTTTTTGTATACACTCTCAACTCTAATCATCTAGCAAGAAAGCATGATTTCTTTGTGAAATGTTATCGAGACCTCATTTTATTGATCTTTTCCATTAAAGACGCACATGTCATCTCAGAACCCTTGAGATGAGATAGTTTGGCAGTAACCATGATCTTAATATCTATTTGAGCATCGGTACTACCTTTTAACTTTGAAAAGCATGTTCTCCCAATGACGATATGGCATAGATTACGAGCAAACAATGTGCAATTACAGTCTTCTTGGTTTCCAGATACGTTTAATACTTTTCTTTTAGAGTTTAGGATTGGAAGAAATCGATAAAAATGCAAAACAGAAAGCCTTGATTGAAAGTCCATGCTACTAGGGAGTAAACATGCTGGTAGGTATCCTACACTTGACAATGGGGCCGTAAACAGACAGCCAGACCTTAAGATAGTCGAGCGGTTCAAATGCCATTGTGCTCATGAGACTTGGTGTATCGCAAGGGTGGATGTACCAACATGGCGTGCCTAGCATTGGATGATCATTTTGCGACACAATAGCATCTTGGTAGACATCTGGTATAATGTATTGGAAAATTTCTGTGTGAGACAAGGGCGTGCCATCCGAGAATGTAGCTTTGAAATAAATGACAGGTACTCGATAGCTAGTTGAATATACAATGTGGTGTTCTAGCTGAATGATCTCGGTCGAGTCTCGTACTGTGCAGTCTTCCTCTTCCTCCAGATCCATGCCATTGATTGCCATGTCCACAACAGCTACATCTTCATTCACGGCTGAACGTTTTGGTATGGCTAATAACACTTTTTGTTTTAAAAAGGATTGTTTCAACTGCAAATTAAAATTTAATAAATAGATGATACATTAGATGTATAATTCACAATTACAATTGACTTTGTTGTTTCTAGTTCCCATTTTAAAGGCTCATTTGTACAGGTCTTGATTTCATTGCAAAATTTATTCAGGCAGGATTCGAATTCTAAACGATTGGATATTATAGACATATTTGAAAGAGTGAGAGAGAAAGAAAAGCGTGTCAAACAAGGAGAGAGAGAGAGAGAGAGAGAGAGAGAGAAAAGAGAAAAGAGAGGGAATCGAAATTAGTGGTTTTTAAATAGGTATGTACAAAATTGGTATGATGAATAATTCAGATTACAAGGTGAGGGACAAAGTATAGATTTTAGCATCAAAATCATCTTTTAAAGAGTATTCAATATCCATCAGCCATGACTGTAACCAAGCCTCGAGTGCCATGGACTCGTTTGATTCGTGATGAACGGTTTGTGCCCATGCTGGATTAGTCATTAGCTTCCAAATCTTGTAAACTGTGCTCGTATGCTTGTCGTCTTGATTTTCATGGTACACGGTCTGGATGATTTTTTGAGAGAATTGCTTGGGATTCAGGATGAAGCCAAGCTGTTGGCTGATGTAGTGGTTATATTCAATCACATCGTTCTTGTTGTAGCCCTCTAATAAAGGTCGAATAGATGCAAGTAGACTGTCCTTGATATGATGAGTTAATTCGTGCTCCAAGACGTCCATAAACTCCTTTAATGTGATACGACAGTATTCTGTTGTTACAGCGATTAATATCTCGAGTATATTTGCCAATACCGAATAGATAACATACCTCTGCCAGCAAATTGCAATTCATGAATAGTCAGGTATGTCTCTGGTGCAGTTTCTATAATCTCAGAGACGGTGGCGTCGACTACTTGACTAACAATTCTGCTGTAATATGACTCTAATTCATTGATGTTCTTGTAGGTATTGATATAAGATGAGGGTATTTTTTTGGTAATTGGGATTGAATGGCGATCTAATTCGAAATGTTGTTGTTGTTGTTGAATGGGTATAGCAACAATGCAAGATGCCATGGCAACCAAAGTGCAAATGGAGATTTTCAACATGATACAAGTTGCTTAATAAAAGGAAAGAGAGAGAGATACAAGAAAAAAAAAGGGGGTGGGGGGAGGGAAGGGAAGGAAATCAGAATCTCATTTATATGCAAAACAATTCCATGTATTTATATTTTCAAGCTTCAAGGAGCCTGTATGTTCGTTGTATCACTTGTCCTATGGTCTCCGCCCTTTTTGTATACATTAAATCCATATAAGCCATGTGTACAAATTACCTGGTAATTCCTACGCAGGTGGAGCAAAGATGGTAATACCAGCTTGTATTCCTTCAAACAGCATCGCGATATTGTCTGCTCTATTGAAAGAAACGCCAGCGACAGCTCCATACTGATGCGAGTTGCAAATTGCTAGGTTTCACATAATAAATTGTTCATTGATTCAATGGAACATTAAGACTCCATTCACCCTCTGTTTAATTTAAAGTTTTTACCTTTTCAAGTAAATGTTCTTGTAGAGATGAAAGCAATATCTAACAAGTTTACCCAAAGACAAAAGAAAAATGCAATTGCATGCTGTTTACTACTTTCAGAACCAAGAAAACCAACTGTTAGCATGGTCATTTCACTCGTAGATGCTATTAAAAGAAATTGAGGGATTTTGTGTTACTTCAAATGTGTGAAATCAGGACAAAGCATCCATTCGCAAGGATCAGTTTTGAGCTGTTTCCGCGTAAAGTCCGAATACATGGATCAGAATCAAATGGCTGAAAGGAAATGGTGCTATTTTTAAATTTGATCTTTGTTGTACATGATAGATTTAAGGACAATACTATATTCTTTTCATGGATTCAAGATGTTTAAATATATATATATATATATATATATAAAAAGACAATCTTTGTAAGGATTGGGGCCCTGTAGCCGCGTGCTGCAGTTGGTAGTTTGTTTACAGAGTGTGAGTTCTGTACTCTGCTGATCAAATGTCTTTGTTTATTAGCATTGACTGCTATATTTATACTTCTTGTCCCTCGACGTTCTTTGCCTTACTCACCTGCAGATTTATTGTACATTATAAACTTGTGTACACGCAAGTAAGGTTTCTTTGCATCTAAATTTAGATGAATTCATGTCGTATTTATACAATAATCTAAACAATCGGGTCAATGTTGAATTCATACGATTAGCGTGTTGTAAAAAAGCCAATATGCTTTACCGAATATCCTACAACCAATTACATTCTACGCGATCGTTACAGTGTATATTAATAGATGTGGAAGTTTCCATTCAAATGGCATCAGGTAGTGGCGATGAGCAAACATGTACAAGATTTCTTAATGATATATGTTGTAGGGCATATGGTTGATTCATGAATATGTGATTTCTGTATGGCTAGCAAAACTTGTCTCCGTTCGTGGCCTGAATTGACATGTCTAGCAATGATGGTAGTAGGTTACTTATTATACCTAACCATGTCATTGGATCACCCTTGCAAAGCGTCGTTCTGGCTCAAACTTTACACTTTAATCACTGCCACTGGTAAAGCTATAGTCAATTGTAGCAGGAGATTATTTTAGAATGTAATGAAAAATACCACAAACAATGCAATTTTAAGTTACAAGAGAAAAAAAAAAAGGTAGATAGAGGGCATGATACCATGATAGTATGCTCTTCATTTGAATACAGTACGCAGGCGTCTGGGTGAATCCAGAATTGGGTACTAAAAAAAAATGATAAAATACAATGTATACATACAAAATAAAAGAAATCTTGCAACATTCATTTTTTCAGCCTCAAGGTTCCAACATTTCATTGTAGTTTTCTCTGGCTGAATGAAGGCCTTAAGCGACCTGTCTGTGTTTTGCTCATTAGTTTGTACCAGTAGCAAGAAAATAAAGGAGCAGGTTTATTTTATGATAAGTTGAAATCATGATTGTAATACATGTAATTATCGTCACTGTCAGCAATGCTTTTTGATTCCTGCAACTGCTTTTTCTTCTATCAAATACATCCAGCAGAGCCATTCATATCATTTTGCATTAGGCTAACCATACGTTCAACTCATTGCCTACCTCCTGCTTAGTTCTCTTTCGGCTTGAAGCTGAATGCTGGTGCAAATAGGCGTGTTTGTCTAATTCTTCTTCAGTTTGGTCATTGCTTTAAACTGTTGTATTGTTTTGTTTCTTGATCCACAGTTCCTCCGTCATCTTTTCAATTCTCTACATGCATCCTGAAAAGCTTCTTTCTTGGTTGTGGCTTTTTAGATTTGGCTCATTTCCTGTAACATATGAAGTATGAAGAAGAAAGAAGAGAGAGGGCAAAGCAAAGTTGCATTATAACATGATAGTTTTATAGTCCATGGACACTTTTACAGCCGTAATATGGAAACTGAGTTGCCAAGCATTTGTCAGGCATGGTTCATCTATGATGATTAGAGGTTTTATATTAAATGACTATCAATTAACAATCAAGTTTCATCTAACATTCTAGCTATTATTATTATTAATTTTGCAATATTAGCCAAACGTCCGTGGCAGCGCGAGCCACCTAAACGTAGGTTGGTTTCCACCAAAGCGACGAGTAGATTCAAGAAATCAACCAAAGAGTCGAAATACTCTTCGTAACATGATAAATTTATAGTCCCCAGACACTTTCAAAGCCTCAAAAAGGAAAGAAGTTGATCAAACAAACATTTTGATATACTGGCATTGTTAAATATAGAATGCAAGGAGAGTAGAACGGCTAACAATAGTGTTACTTAATTTGACACCTACTTTCCATACGCTTCAAAAGCATCTATTACTGTATTGCCTTCATGATGAGAAAAGGGCATTAAGTTTGCCAGCTGGCCCCACCGGCCGCCAAAAATAATTCCAATTCAGACTCTTAATCTATTCCAGATTGGCCAGATTGGTCAGATTTTGATAGTTTTTCGACTCGATTGAACTATTTTGCTTCTAAAGAGAAAGTTTGGCAGGGAGTCATCTTCGAGTTTCTGTGGCCTACCACCTCGATTCTAGATATTAAAGAGGCTCTTCTGCAACTTGATTTCTCCAACGTTTGGTATTGCCAAATTGCTGGAATCAAGCCTTTCCGAATCCTCATCATCACCCTTGGTCAACTGTGGCTTGCCCACATGAGGTTCATCTATGACAATGTTCCTATGGACCATACAGCGATATTGGCCAGTATTCGAACCAGTGTTTGTCAGACCATTGCGGAAGATCAGTGCCATTCCCTCCTGTAATCCTAAGCCAATTATTAGGTAGTTTTTTCTTTATAGTTTAGTTTAGTATCTTATTCTTCATATTTTAGCTTATAGTTATCCAATTCTGTATCTAAATTGCACTCGCCTCTTCACTCTGACCTATTACTCTCAGTGTACGCGAATCAGTCAATAAGCAAAATTTAAAAAAAAAAGAACTATTTTGCCAGACTGGACTATACAAAACCTGATGATCATCCCATGCTCCCTTAAGCTTCCTTGTAGTACTTTTTATGGCGCTTCCAATGGCGCCAAGTAAGATAAATATTTTGAATAAACTTACTGAGCAATTTATGAAAATATGAAAAGAGGTTTCTGGCCAAAAAGTCGAGATTTTACATATCAAGGTCCCACAAAGATGATTTCAGGAGTTACGTTAGATCGATAGAAACATTTTGATTCAATACATACCATAGTAAAAGTCTTCATTATCAAGGTAGAAAATGCGATTGTTTGATTTTTGATGAAAATTTTTTTTTTTTTGTATGGATGTTGCTTATTTATTAGTAAATATACATTATAATAAGAACATCAAATGATGGACAAGTGTATGTAACAAAGTGACTTGCCATATATAAAATCTATTAAAGCTACTACTAATATTGATGCTTGAGATCTGACAATCTCATCACTTCAGCACTGATCTTGTTGGTGACATTGTTGGTATCAAATGGCACTCCTTCGAATGTTTGTAGGAGGTGGAATCTCCATATCATACGAATGGTGGCAGCAAACAGGTCGAAGATTGTAATCTTGATATCGAGGTTGTAGATGAAATATTGCTTCAGGTTTAAGTTAACTATAGATTGGTATACTTGTTGTGGATTAGCAACCTTGGGGTATCCCAGGAATTGTTCAAAGATGTTGGACCAAATGTCGTTTTTGTGGGGGCAGCTAACCATGAGATGTTTGGCATCTTCAGTATCATTGCAGAGGGTACATTTGTCATCTTCGACGTTCCTCAGGCGTCGAACGAAAAGAGCTGATTTGCTCGGGCATTGCTTGTGTATCATTCTATACCAGACATTTCTCACAGAGTGATGCATGTTTTGATGATAGAAGTGTTTCCACTGGACTTTGCTGATGGTATGATTGAACTTTCGTCCAACATCAAGGTTGTGTATGTCCAGCATAATTGATCTCAAGTATTTGTTTGACATTTGAAGCATTGGGCGGTCTTGGTAGTTAAGCATAGCAACGAAAGGCTGTAGGTCTAGATGAGCCTCCATGTTTCTTGTATCCGCGAAAGATTCCAATCTGATGTTCCCACAGAGAAGACCTCTTTCTATCTGATTCCTAATGTTTGGTCGCTTGCATTCACTTCTTGGCTTTATCTGCAGAGTACTTGTTTCCTGGTTGACGTGGAAGAAGTCATGAACTTTACTCTCCCTGATCGAGTCTCTGCTTGTGTATCCCATGGCTACTTCCTCATTGACAAAATCAAGAATTTCCAGCACTGGCAATGACAAGAGTGTCATGACATTTGGTTTGACAGACCAAGCGAGTGAGAATGGGGAATGCTTCATATAAGTATCTATTGCCTCGAACATCATGTGATAAGGGTGGAAGCCTCTTAACTGGTTTTTGTATCTAGCCGTTTGGAACAGTATAGGGATTATGTGCGATGGTGAGTCGTGCGACATCTTCAAATAATCCACTAGTAGCCTATACGTGAGACCAGGTATGTTGTTGCTGTTTTCTGTCAGCAAAGCGTTCAGGTATCTGAATTGCAGAACCTTTTGTTGCGCCATTATATCAATCAGTCCTAAACCGCCTTGATACCTTGGTAG